CGGCATTTTGTGAATGGTTCCGTTGTTTTGGATGCTAACGGCTTCAGGGCTGGAGTCGTCCAGGTCAGGCAGACATTCCTGCGCGGATGTCCGGAATGGTACAGGTGCCGGGATGGCTGCTATTTTACTGGTACGGTGTTGATTTCGGGATACTAGGTTATGCTCCGGTTCAGGATCCCGGGCTGAGGGTATCTCATGCAGTTGTACGCAGATCAGCTGGGCCATGGTCATGTTTGAGTGTCTATTTGTCTCGTTCCCTCTGATCTCCCGGGCTTGTAAAGCTGCACAGGCTGATGTGGTCTGTCTGTGTCTTAGGGCCTTTGGCCAGCTAACAGTCAGGATCTAGTAGCTGAGTTTTCGTGAATCCCCTTTACAGGCTCCCTGTAAACCCCGAAATTCGGATTCTCATATTTGGGTGCTTTGTTGGCTCGTATGTCTGCCTGTCAGTGTCCGTCTGTCCATGGGATAGGGTATTGTAGGTCAGGGTATGCATGCAGCATTCGCCGTTCCCCGGCAAGGCTTCAAGAGGCCTTGACGCAAACAAGGGCATGCATGCATGCATTTTTGCTTCATTCATGCATGTCGGCATGCACCACCCCAATCGTTCCCTGGACCCTTTCTCACGCAAAGAGGATGAAAGCCGGGTCTCAGAGGCGAGGTCTCCAGCTTAGACAGCTGCGACTTACGGACTGAAGCAGGACCTTACAGTGTCTTACCGGCTTGTTGACTGGATTTCACTATTAGGTTCCTGGGTAATACCTTTTGTCCTTTTTATTTTAGGGTCCCACTATTCAAAAAGCGAATGGAAGGACAAATGATACCCTGATTAGAGAGGGGCTGCTTAGGAACCTAGACTACCCATAGGCCCCAAAGTAGTTCCTTTTTGGGATTACCTTGTAAGATTCTATATATATATATATATATATATATATATGAACCCCCAAAAGGAACTACTTTAGGGCCTTAGGGTAGAGTGTTATTCACGTCCCAGTGGGGCCTCGAAGTTGCGAAGGCCCTTTGCATCCCAGACCATCACGAATTGGTTGGACAACTCCCTTTCTGTGGCCCGGTGCTCGGTGATTCTCAGAACATGATTCCAGAGACAGAGAGAGAGAGAGAGAGAGATAGGGAAAGCTAAGTGGAGGATCGTACGTACTAAATCCGATGCCGCCCTGCTAAAAGGAGGAGTCGATGCAGGGACACGGGCCAGTTGAATGCCCGCCGAAAGCTGTTCCATCATACAGAGTCAAAGACGGGTCGTCCAAAAAGCTTTGATCGATTCGATTGAACTACGTAAACTTTGCTGTGTAGCTTCCGGTGCAGGGGCTCGACAGGCATCGGTGCAATCTTCACTACTTTCCGGGACCTATAGACACACGTCCTCGACCAAGCCCTGCCTGAAGAAGTTACTTCAGTTAGCTTGCATCCCAGAAAGCGTGCTTATGCGAAGCTCTGGTATCCAGCCCTGGAACCCTCGAATATTATCCTGAAGGGTCAGACCCACCCTCCGTAAGAGGCCCCAACTCCGAAACACGCCGCTACCTTGCAAATTGCCGAGATCTACATCACCTGGGCCTGTCGGCTCATTTTCCGAGCTATGCCCTGGCTTATGGACCGGCCTGAGAGAGAGAAAGAGAGAGAGAAAGAGAGAGAGAGAGAGAGAGAGAGAGCGAGAGAGTCGTTTTGCTTGTTTCAGGGTTTATCCTTAAACCCTGAGTGTAGAGTCAACAGGTCTCTCGTTGTGTCGTTGAGGAACTTCTTGCTGGATTCCGTGGCTGCTTCGATGGAGTGCGCGAGTGGAAACCGCTCTAAACCATCCTGAACTCTTCTTTCGACATCCTTCGATTACTTTGATCAGGGGTCCGGCCTCCTTGCCGGATCACCTATACAAATGAAAGCCTTCAGATTTGTTCTTGCTTTGAATTATGTGGGGGGGGGGTGTCATAGTAATATGTGCCTGCTCCAACCACGAACCTTGAATCAAAGCCAACGCCAAAGTTCTCAACCCCTCCATGCACAAAATCTGGATCCGAGCGCAAGTGGTCGAGTCCCAACGAGAGTCCTCAACCCTGAAGCGGCACGAAGCGCGGAGAGATCCTGGACCAAGCGTCTAATATATATATATATATATATATATATATATATATATATATATATATATTATCATTGTACCTGTATATATATATATACACATGTGGATATGTGTATATATATATATATATATCTCTTTATATATCTGTGTGTATATATATATGTATGTTTGTCTGTAGAGGGTCTTTGTGAGTCCGAGTCCCCCAAAGTACCTTGCGCCTTCGCACTAGTACTTCAGGAGCTGTGCAACTTCATCATGCCTTTTTCTTCTACGGCTCGCACGTCAGTTGGCGGCAATGTGCAGAATTCTGCAGCTCTGAAATTATTGGTCGGGCTTTCTTACGAGCGGTTTCTGGGTCCATGCTGTGAGAAAGCCTAGCATACGTTGCCGGATTCGCCTGGCTTTGCCTTTCCGTGAGATCATCAGGTACATGCCATTCGGAAGCTCAGTGCGCCTCAACATCTACGAGAAATGCTATGCTCTGACTAGCAGCTCCGGCGGAAAGATCGGGAAATACCAGTGTTGTCATCGGGCGGGTCGGTCGATACCAATAGCTCTGCGACATTGTGCGGCATGGCATTGCCCTTATTGCGGGACTGTGGTTCGCAGCCTCTGCAGTATGTGATAACTGTATTGTTGCCCTGAATACGAGGTTGTTCAATTGCTCCTGCATCCAGCTCCGTAGAAGCAGATCGAACAATTTTCGTGTCACACACATTCGTCAACTTCCTACATATATGCATGGATATTGACGAGCAGAATTCGTCACTTTGCTCGCCGAGGAAAGTTAATGGTTGCCAGCTTGTTCGCTCTGTTCGCGCGCATGCTGCTCAACCTGATTCTTGGTGGCTAGAGCCTTACTTCTGATTCTGCAGCAGGCTGTAAGGAACATGGCTTCGGGGGCATACTCTAGCATATTTAAGGAGTTCTCAGATGAAGGAATCAAAGCTTGTCGAGTCTGGCGCTGGCCCTGATTATAGCATTATGGTCACGTCGACCACTCACACGGGCACTCCCAAGTCAAGATACTTCCACACCTTTCGACCTACAAGATACTGGACCTAGCAACATGCAACGGCACCCGACCTCTTTGGAACCATAATCATGCTTCTGATCCGGGAGTGGGGCCCCGATCCATGCATACCCTCAAAGATGAACCAGGGCTTTATGATGTGGACATCTTCAATCGAGGATTCCTCGTAGATTTCGGCTTGATGGACGTAGAGTCTTTGTATGTAAGGCCTTTGGGGTGCTAGGGCTCCGACTTACGCTCTCTTGCAGGATCAACTTGGCAATCATTTTGGGATCTGTTGCTTTGATGAAAATTCTTTTGGACCCAAGGAAAGATCCGAAGCTGCCGGTGGCAGATATTCCAGTGAATACCAAGGAAGCAGTGTGCCTCAGTGGCAAGGGCGGCAAGGGTCATCGTTGTCGTTCTTAGGTCTCGTCTTTTGTTTATTTTGCTTTTAATCTGGGCTGGGTGGACGATGCAGGGTCCGCGTTCAGTCGTAGTGTTGCTCTCGTATAAGTGGTGCGGACTGTTGAAGTTTGAATTCTGCCTTTTGCATCCATTCAGGTTTTTGTTGGCGGAAGACTAATAGGGAGGGTCTACATATTCAAAAAGCCTGCCTGCCGAGCATTGTAAGCCGGATCCTTTTCACGGACGTTCTTCACGGCAAGCCTCCTAGCTGCAAAGCTGGCTGCCACCGTTCATTGCTAAGGGGGCTGCTCCGCAGCCCGACAGCTTTGAGTATGCCCACCCTGGCATTCCAACTCGAAACTCCAAACCTCAACCCTCAAACCTAGGCTGGGGGCTGCGGTCTTCCCTTGGAAGCCGCTCGTCTGGCTCCTGGCCATGCGCGTCCGCCCACGATTGCGGACCTCGAACATGCGGCTGCTCCTGGCACCCCGGACTGCTATTACTGTTATTGTTATTGCTAGTTATGATCTTGTTTAGTCTTATTGGTATATTGATAACGAAAGGGTTCCGTGTAAATACTTTAGAGGATCTAGGTATGGTTGAGGATAGGTCTACAGCAGGGTTCGAGGCACGACGGCGCATGCCACTGCTTTTGCTGGATCAGAGAGCTAAGCACCCTCACCTGGTGCCTGTCCTGGGGAGTGGAGTGCTTCTGTGTTGACGTTTTCGGCCCTCAGCTGAAGACCGGCAGAGGAGGAAGTGCTGGCAGTCAGCGTTTTCCCTTCAATGTGATGGTGTTTGCAGTGCGGTTTGCTATGGAAGCAAGCTGCGTTTGCACATGCCTCTCCCGTCGTAAGCCTTGGCCTCAGCACGGGTTCAAAAAGAGAGCTAAGCACCTCACGTGGCCTGCACTTCCGCCAGGCAGACAAATGCCTGTCCTGTGCCATCTACATCAGCTTGATCTCGGCTTCTTGGATGCAAGTAAGGGAAGACATAGCGCGGTCTGTTCTCTGCCAGGAAGAAAGACTTCATAAATGGCCACGCGAACTAGAGTTCACGTCCGACAGCATTGGACACGCATAGGACTCAGGCGCGCGCAGCAAACAAGCTTCTGCCTGCTTGTGCACGCTGTACTGTACCCCAAGCCACCTCCTGTTCCAAAAACTACTAAACCCAGAGACTCCAGAATCCCTTAATTGAGGAATATACCTTAAGTCATATCAGGGATCCTACTATAGTTTGAGGCATATTCATTAAGGAGTATTGGAGTCTACGGGAACCTACTGCACGTCCACGTCCAGGTACCACTGCGGCTGATCAACATTCAGCTCCGCACGGTGCTGGCTGTCGGTGGTGTCGGAGGGCTTGCCGTCGGTCTGGCGCTGCAGAATCTGATTCAGAATCTCATCTCTGGGACGCCCGGCTTGGGGTTTTCAATACAGATTTTTCATGCGTGCGAGAAACAGAGTGTGAGGTTCAGGGGATTACATGGTGCTAGATTATGGTGCTGGGTTCACGGCTAAAGCTACCGGGACTAGGTTTCGGCGGGTGAGGGTTAGGGACCTTACAGGGTTTAAGACCACTTGCGTTGAGCCACATTGCTGATAACATTTGCACAAACAAGTTCTGTCAGAATGTTGGGAGCCTCCTCCTCCTGCTCCTCCTCGAGTATTGCACAGGTCATGGTACGTGGTTCATGGGCCATCAAAGCTTGAACCCAGGATATTGATCTACACCAATGCCACCATTTGCGAGGGCCTGGAGGTCGAACTGCAGGACGTGAAGCTGCAGGGCGTCGTTTCGGAAGCACCTTGCCTGATATGTTTTGTAAGCCATAAACTGACGAGCCTTCTTAGGAGAGATTCTTCACTTTGGCCTGCTTTGCACCAGGTCGGATGGTTCAACACCACCGTGAACGGCTACGAGGGGACGCGCGTCACGGTGCCAAACCGTCGGATTCTGGATGGCACCGTCATTGACAAGACCAACAAGCGCTTCCGGGTGTGCCAGAAGAAGATCGCCACACGGCGAAACCCGGGGCTGCATTGGGGGGGCGCGTTGGCGGTTAGACGCAGGGTAGCTTCACACGGATTCACACGTGTCCCTAAGTCACGCAGCCAGCACGAGAGAAGTTGCAGCAGGCCCAGCAGGCTGCCTAGATCCGCAAATACCGAGCCTGCTCGTGTTCATTCAATTCTGCCCGGTGTTTGAGCTGTCGGGTTGCTTGAAAGCGACAGAGAGGAATACGACGAAGAAGAGAGAAACACAGAGAGCCTGCTTGTGTATATGGTACCGCCACAGTCAGTACCTCGGCTGGACTATCTCGAAGTCTCTTCTTATCCCAATCAACTGCACCTGCCACCTCAACCCATCCTTGGCCATCGGCCCAAAGGTGATAACGTTCGACGATCCTTCCAAGCTAGATGCTCTTGCACGGCCCCCAGACGATGCTTAGCCCTTCAGGCTGCGAAGTTCACAAATAGCAACTTGATGATGCAAGAGATCCAGTTATCCAATTCGGATGTCTTGAGAAGTGTCCCCATCTACTCGCTGGGCTGCGGGTGGGGGCAGTCCTCCTGCAATCACTGACAGCTGCGATGACCCATCAGCTCATGGTGAATTGCAATGAGAGTCAGACAAAGTTGCTGTCGACCACCGTCGCAGTTCGTAGTTTCAAGCACTACGTGGTGAGAAACTTGCAGAACAATAAGACGGACCGTGGTCACAACATTACGTCGGGCTTCTGTGGGCATGTTGATATCTCGCTGCAGGCTCACATGCTGGGCCCAGGAGTTATATAGCGCATGCTCGAGGCTGCGTTTTCTCATATAGACGATTTGCAGGTTTATGCCGTCCAAGATGACCTCCGCAACAATCCATGCGTGTTGCAAAAGGCTGCCGCCCGGTCCTCAGAGGCATGAGTCAGTCTTTTGGTTGGTCATTCATGTCAAGTTTACCGATCAACGACAAAGAGACGCTTCAAACCCCGATTAGGCAGTAACACCCGAGCTTTCATGTCGCCTGGTTTGCGCGGACATGTCTGAGATTTCAGACTGCGAGTGTGTTGCGTGCTTTAACCACGCATTTGGATCAGTTCAGCTTTTGTCCCGTTCTTGCCTGGTGTTTCTTCGTGTTTGCCCTTGCTGCCTGGGTGTCGCATTGTTGTCACAGTGAGTTGTTTTGGGAAAACAGCTGGAAGGGGGGTTGAACCGTCCCTCTGCCATCGGTGCTCTGGACATGAGCGCATGGCATGAAATTAATGTCGCCTGGCTTTGCCAGATCTGTCTAACATTTCAGCCGCTGTCCGTGCCTCTCGCTTTGCTCTACGGACACACGGAATAATGATTTCTGTATTCATAGTCGGAACCCCTGAGTGTGCAGAGCATGAGCTCTCGGCCCCTCTATTCCCGAGCAGCCCATGATGCTACCTGCTGCACCTGAGGTGCTCAGAATTCGGACCGCCAACCGAGGCCTGCTCAGCGTCATCTGTGAGATGAGTGCGAACAATCTGTCATCATGTAGTTGTATGTTCTTGTCGCAGGAGGCTACCACACAGTACTTTGACCCGTTAAGTTTCCTACTGGTTGGACGCACAGGGCTTTCTCCAAAAAGTGCTGTCTGTCTGTGTTGATCTGAATCTGCGGCGAACGTGCTCCATTACGTTCACCATGTGCTGTTGGTTTTGGCCGATGATGTGAACCGCAGGATCAAACGGTCCGTTCTGTATCTTTGGTTGGTCCTACTGGCTGAACACAGAAACCTGTGGCCAAAAGTACAAAGCCCGGACCCTCAGCCGTGAAGGCCACATCAAGGTTTACGAGCCGCAGTTCGTTTTCTCTGGATGGCCCGGCACCTAGTTCTCGCACGCACAGAAATCAGAGAGCAGCGGTGGCGGCCAGTGCAGCAAGCAGCATCAGCAGCAATAATTAATCATTGCAGGTAGCTGTAGTATGTCCTGAGATTTTGTGGGCTGGAAGTCCCAACACTACAATTAGAGACCGTACGCTGCCCCCGACAGGGCACCTACATGCGCGTGCGTCATAGTGTCCTCGTTCTGTTCTGATACCGCCCCTAACATAGGCAAGCACAGGTGCCTGACGAGCCCATGATGCAACATCCGATGTAGCTGTAGCTTGTAAGGCTTGCAATGTGCGGGGGTCATACCGGTGCTGGTTTGACAAGTCCAGGCCCGCTTTCGGCGTGCTATGACATGAGGAGTTGCAGATGCATGGAAGCCTGGGTTCCGTCAGGTTCGCGCTTTGCCAAGCCACAATGGAGGTCATCGTGTGGGTCTACAGTAGGTAGGCAGTTCGGGGCAACTGGCTGCCGTGTGGGTGTGTCGGTGGAGTAGGTGGAGTTGCATCCGGACGGACAGAGAGTATCACCAAATCACAAGGTCTTTTATCGTTGTACCTGCGAGAAATGAAGAGTTCCTTTGTCCTCCAGAGTAGGGATCGTTGGCCATGCCGTACAACGACGACGAATGGCATGGCCGAGAGAGCGGCTGTGAAAAGAGGGCTCCTCCAAGGCCCTCTCTTGAAGAAGTCCTTCGGCTCGTGGATGCTCCGGAGAGGGTAGAGAGACGAATCTGGACCAGGTCTAGGCAGTTGTCTTGTCCCCACTCCCAGAGTAGCAGTATTCCCCGACACTAACTGCAGTCTATCCCACAGACTTATCATGTAAAGCATCCTGCAATGTCTTTCTTTCGGGATTTTCCTGGGTGTTGCCACGTCGCATTTGCAGTTTCGGAAGCTCGAACATGTCCCTGCTCAAACCCCTGTCATTAGCGATTTCAAGGACCCCCGTTTGCTAGTTTAACATCCCAGTCCTTCAAGAACATGGTGTACGTTTGCGGGGGTGGCAATGCGGGATCTTGCAGTACCCAAAAGCCACCCCAAGAGCAACACTGACGACCACCCCATGCCTACGATACAACATGCGCATTTGCACAGTCGGAAGCACGGTTGCTACCCAAGAACATGCGCTCCATCATGGGAGCAGCAAGACGTGCAGTTGCGCGGGACTGCAGAGGGATTTGAGAGGTGGAAGCGCGAGTCAAAATCCCACGTGCACCGGCGAAAATGCACAGCCTGTACACCACCACACCAGGAGCCTCGAGGAACCTCGTCGTATGGCCTGGCATTATAAGTTTGGAGTGATGAAAAGGGCGCTTTTTCGGTTTCCGCCCCAACAAATTCACAGACGCACGGCAATGTGGAAAGGGCTTTGCAGTTGAATCCGGTGTGCGTGGAAGACATGGTCACAGAATGCGACTCGCCGAGAGCCACCACGGGAACGCGGCGTGCCCGTGTCGTGTGCTCCTTGCATGTCCTCGCACGCCCTTGTCAATTAAATCAAAACTAAATCCTTTATGACCTCGCCTGAGCTTCTCGAGTGCGAGTGCTTAAAAAACAGACTTCATGCTGAATGTAGGAACCTTAGTGCTACTCCTTGTAAGCGTTTTCTCCACGAGCCTCCAAGTACACCCAAGGATTGCGGATGACTGATGACCAACGCATCCGCTGCCACAAACTGCTGGAGGGATTCGCTCGCACAGCCTACAGAGTGCTGGAGGACGAAGGTGGCTTGTTTTTGTCTCAATTACGAAAAGGACCTTTTGGTCCTTGCATGCCCTAGGCTCGCTCAAGTTATTCTGCCAAATCGACCCTTGCAGGTTGTGAAATTGCAGAGGGCATATATGTTGGAGGGTCCTTTGGGCGTCGAACAGCGCTCAACTACAAGCTTGATGCCGATATTGTGATCATCGCGGAGGATTTTGACGTGCACCAGGCACAGCATGATTACAACAATGGTGCACTCAACTGGCACCAGGGTATCGTGCTAGACGGCCTTCAGCAGAAATTCAGACGCGGGTGCGAATATGTAGCTGGCTCGCCATGGTGTTTAAAGCTGAAGGCCGGAGAGTTCTTGCGTGTCGATCTGATCATTACTGGGAACCCAGAATGGACACATGAACGTCACAGGGGCTTCTCGGGCGCAGATTCTCAGAATGTTGATCGGCAGATCCTTAGCTTCGCGATGAGACATCCTGAGTATCGTGCCCTGGTCCTTGTCGCAAAGCATTGGAGGAATCTCGACAGCAGGGCAACTGGTATTACATCATACCACTTGGAGTTACTATGCATGGAGGCTGTCAGGCAATGTGGGTCCAATGTGCGTGATCAATTCCGGTGCCTACTTGAGCGCTTTGCTTCTGGAGACACTGCCGTCAACAATCCAAACAGATTCAATCCGAAAGTTTTAGAGTCTGGGCGACGAGTTGCTGCAGACTTGGCCGATTATGCCGCAGAGACACTAGATTATTATCGCAGGCATCTCCGTCCTGGCAACCGGACAGCATGTCCTCTTTGTGGCGAGCGCCGTTTCCTCAACGGCAGTGGGGCCGTGGCCCACTTGGAGTCTGGAAGCTGTGTGAAGTGCCGCGGCCAAGAAAATGCCCAGAAGACCATCTACGACTTCATGGGTGGAAGCAGGCAGACGCAGCAGTACTTGACGCCAATGATCACGAATGGATCCCACGGCCACGGGTCCAGTGGATACCAGGCATATCAGTGCACGCACTGCGACAGGACCTTCGCAAAACTTAGTGCGCTGATGCAGCACATGCAAGACAGACACCAGAAGACTTTGCACGCCTTGGGGTTTTGAGGAGTTTTCGCACATGCCTGCGTTCGTTGAGTTTGCCAGGCCTGAGAATGGAGGTAAAGAGGCCCGCGGCACTCTAAAGCAGTCTTCTGGTGCCTCTCTGGTGCCATCAACCGTTTCACAGCCTGGAATGTTGAATGGTTTTGAATTCTACTAGTAGCAGTCGCCATGCGATCGTCGATTTTCCTGCTTGCTGTGTCTGCATCTTAAAAAAATGGATTCGGCTTTTGCCGGTCTTAACAAGTGTGTGCGGGCGCAGTAGTGCGTTCAGGGTGCCGACGCTTTGCCGAGGGTCAATACAGTACCTCACAAGGTCTGGACAAGGAGTTGCGTGGCAAATAGCTTGCCAGTAAAATCATTCACTTCATCCATCCTCCACCCTGAACTACTCGAAGCTTGAACCCGGAAGGTGAACAGCTGAGGGGTTTATAATTATGTGCGCCCGTCGGTGAACATGTGGTCGTGTGACCACCCGCGCACTGAACACGTACGAGGGAGACCTCACGTTGGTAAGGTGGGCAAGACTGTACACTCGCAAGTAAATGTCCGTCAAACTTATCACACGATTTGGGATGTTTGTGTGCTGTAATTACTCCCTCCCCTCAGTGCGACCCAAGACTGCAGAAACCAATTCAAACCTCGAGTCCGAGTCACATCATCAAGCCTGAGCAGACAACCGTCAATGCATATAGCGAGCTCCAAGCCGGAGCCGTGTGCCTCAGCACTATCATCGCTTTTCACGTACTTGTTTGGAGCCTTGTGGCACGGGGGGGCCCGATGCCACCACCACCGAGCAGATCCTGGTTGCTTCTGTGACCGCCCGTGGAAAGATTCACACGCGCAGCGCTCGTGATCGCAAGCACAAGCCACAAACACAATGCTGAAAGCAAGGTCGGTGTATGGAGCTGAGTTCTATCTCCGTGCTTACTTCGAGAAGTCGCTGCAGGCCCGAACTCAGCGGTGACTCAGGGTCTCGAGTTTTAAGGGATTCGAAAAGGGGTTGCTATAAAGGTTTCCACAAGATCTTCAGAAGGTATGTGCAACAGGGGGTGCTGCTGATCCTTGAGTAAACGTTCCTGGAGGGTGTTTGGTGACTTCTGACCATTGCTGAAAGCCTCCGAACATATTTATGTGCTGCAGTGGGGGCAACAATAAGAGCACAGAACACAGCTTGAACACCGACAGCACATAGGGGCACCAAGCCAAAGAACACGAGCATTCATTGTGGCAGCCAGTTTGGGCAACCACCGTGATGCTGACTGAGGGTCTAGGATTTCGGGCCAAATCAGAATATCAAGAGAAGCCTTTGTCATGCGTGCTTGTCCTGTTGTTCGCTCGTTCGCTGGTACCACCGTTCATTCCCGCCCCGCTGCCGACTTGGTAGTCTATCAACTGCCAAAACTACTCTCTCCCGCTACCTGAGTCAACATCAAAATTGACTTCCTATCATTAGCTACAGCAGATCGTTCTTGCCAGGGCGACAAGTTCCTGAATCTGCAGAGCAAGCTCCTCATTGATGTGCGCCTCGGACTGCAATCAGCAGACCAGCTGCGAGAAGCCAAAGCACAGGTCAGAGCCTTTGCTTTTATCTACCTGGGCAAGAACCGTAGCTCTCAACTGTAAAAGTCCGAAACTCTGAGCAATCTGCCGATTCATCACCAACCTCAGCATCAGAACAGAAACCCCTGCCAGAGCTCACTAGCAAAGAAGTCGCGAGAATCCCCCTGCATTAGGCGGTCGGGTGGAATTCAGATGCTGCTTCAACATGCATAATAATTACTGCTCTTAGAGACTTCTGCTTTCTCAGCTGTCTTCATAATCAAAGTCCCCCGAACCCTTAACGTTTTTGGCGACTGGCAAGAAAGCGCTCATAGTTGCGTCTCGGGACATGTGTCTCGCCTCCAAGCACCAAGAATAGAACCTCGCCTGACCCGGCACTCCTGTCATTTGTGACTCCCTAGGGTTTTGGGATATTTTTGAACGTTTGTCTTCAGGAACCTTGTTGTCCAACAGCCGACCAGGGAGTCACAAATGACAGGTGGTTCAACGGCTGAAAATGGAGACCCTTCCAGGGTTTTGGTACATGCCAGCACATGCACCGATTGCTTTCATGTTTGAAACGGAAAACTGGGAGTCACAAATGACTGTAGTCAGTTTGCCCAAATCTGCAATATTTCCTAGGCGCGGTGCTCATTTTTAAGAAATCTTCGTTTTCCCTGGGTTTGGTGCATTTTCTCGCTGAAAATGCAGTTTTTCCTAGGCTTCGTGCACTTTCGCACGAAAGTAGTGTTTTTCCCTAGGAGAGGTGTATTTGTCGCACAACGCACAACCATATGCCTCCTTCCAATTCAGAATTATATATATATATACATATATAATACATATATATATATATATATATATATGTATATATATATATATGTATATATATATATACACAGACATAATCAGTTTAAAATATAAAATATATATGTATTATATAGTATATATTATATAACCTATAATATATACTATATAATGTATAATATAAAATATAATGTATAATATAAAATATAATATAATATAATAATATATATATATATATATATATATATCATATATAATATTAAAAGTTATTAGATAATATATAGTATATAATATATAGTACAAAATATAATACATAATACATAATACATAATGTGTAAGGTATGTATTATATGTCATATTATGCAAAAGTATAATACAAGAGCATACAATATAAAATTAATACACTTTTATACAAGACAATATATTATAATGCTTTTATACAAGACAATATATTATAATGTAATATAACATAATCTCATGCAGGAATATATTGTCTAGTATTACATATGCAGCTGATCGTCGACGCTCAAAGGGGTGAATCCAAGAAGAACCTTTGACCCGAAAAACTCTGGGGTGAATCCAAGAAAACCTTTCACCCAAGACGAAGACCCTAAGGAGTGTACCCAGCAACATTCTATTACCGAAAACGAAAAAAACCCTAAGGAGTGAATCCAGCATGAACCTTTAGCCGAAGATGAAACCCTTAGGGGTGAATCTGAGAAGAACCTTTCACCCAAGACGAAGACAAAAAGGACGGAACCCAGCAGGAACCTTTTGCCCAAGGTGAGACCCTGTACCCTAAACCCTGAATCGGCTTACAGAGTTAATGTGACACGTCGAACCTACATCTGCAGACCTTGCCAGGCTTGCCCGAGAGTGAGTGTCAAAAACCCTTACACCCCAATCCCTAAACCCTAAACCCCAGCAACATTCTATTACCGAAGACGCAAACCCTAAGGAGTGAATCCAGCATGAACCTTCAGCCGAAGATAGTGAACCCAGCAGGAGTGAATCCAAGAAGAACTTTTCACCCAAGACGAAGACCCTAAGGAGTGAACCCAGCAGGACCCAGTGCCGAAGACAAAAACCCCCAAGGGCTGAATCCAACAAGAACCTTTCACCCAAGACGAAGACCCTAAGGAGTGAACCCAGCAGGAACCTTTAGCCGAAGATGAAACCCTAAGGGGTGAATCCAAGAAGAACTTTTCACCCAAGACGAAGACCCCAAGGAGTGAACCCAGCAAGACCCAGTGCCGAAGACAAAAACCCAAAGGGGTGAATCCAAGAAGAACCGTTCACCCAAGACGAAGACCCTAAGGAGTGAACCCAGCAGGACCCAGGCCCTGAGGAGGACCCAGGCCCTAAGGAGTGAACCCAGCAGGAACCTATTACCGAAGACGAAGACCCTAAGGACTGAATCCAGCATGAACCTTTTGCCGAAGAGGGAATCCTAAGGGGTGAATCCAAGAAGAACCTTTCACCCAAATCGAAGACCCTAAGGAGTGCTCACAGATGACCAGAAGAAGGAAAAGTAAGGGAGTCACAGATGACCGGTGTTGCTGTGTGAAAACCACATTGACAAGCAAGGCCAAAGGGTCGGGAGTCACAGATGACAGGTGCTGTTTGAGAGGAAATCACAGGCCTGCCAATGAATATGAGCACTTTCGGGTGAGGTGATGTGTGGTGATGGCAGGCGGAGGGAGTCACAAATGACGGGGATTTGCCTAGGCCAGACCCAGGAACCTAGGGAGTCACAAATGACAGAAATAGGGAGTCACAAATGACAGGAGTGCCGCCAGACCCAACCCTAGCCACGCGAGAGGCAAAGCAAAAAGCTGTATAGCAACCGCTGTAGGAGCCTTTTATCGGGACGCTTCCGGCAACCCGAAAGAAGAACCCCACCCATCGAGATCCAGCCCGGCTGACGAAGAGTGGGTGCCGCAACTGTTTCAGGAGCCAGCGAATTCGAGAGTTCGGGGGCCGACCAGGTCGGCCGTCCGAGCTGCGAGTTTCGGGCCTTTGTACTGCATGTACTGCGCCTGAGCCTTGTAAGGCTTGGTTCAGGGTTGAGCAAGCGCGTGATGATTACAGATGTGCAGTTTAGAGTGTTTTTTTGAGGACTTGGCGACGGCTCGAAAGCGCAGTACCCCAAATCACATCCTCACGTCGTGGGTAAGCTTTCTAGCATAGGTGTTGCAGGAACCGGAGGGTCGGATGATCGTAGACACACAATATGAGAGATGCTGGGTAATTTCTTCGGGATTGTGCCCATCATCTTTCAGGTTCAACGTTCCGTAACTTTTCAAGAGTGTGAAAGCGTTTTTGATTTTTCAATCTCAGTCATGGCCATCGTGGCGACCTTCATCGGAGCCAGCATAAGCATTACAAGCGTTGTCCTTGCCACGCTAGTTAAACAGCGCCATTTGTTCATTGCATTTCACCATTGGTCTTGTCTTTGATGCAACTGTTCCAGCAAGAGCGACAGCTCTACTCAGCGTCAGCACCATCATCATGACACCTTTACGGTTACGGGCTTACGGGCTTTGGATTTGGGTACTTTAGCGATTCATGCCAGGTCTCCGCGACAGTTGAAATGATCGTTGCCATTGCACGTGGTTATTAGCAGTTGCATGTTCAAAGCAATGCCAATTGCAGAAACTAATTATTCATTCGCATTCACCCCTACACCTGGCCACAGTCCTAAAGCCGCACACGATGAACCCAGAAATCCAAATTCTTGAAGCCCTTTAAACCCTAAACTCTGCCCAGAACCTCGGGCAGGCAGTCCGCTAACGCCCTTGGTTCCGGCTCCGACCCCGGCCCCTGCGGCCGCGCCCAAGTACGACAGTGCAAAAACCAGAGCGACAGATTCTCAGGTCCGCGGTTCTGACTGCCCAGTCCTGGCGCATAAGGTCCAAGTTCAAAAAATTCTTCTACTACTTGAAGCTAGTTTGTCTGAACCATTGGAGGGCACGTTCTTCATGCATTGTTGTGATCGAGAAACCGGTAATGGCTTGCTCAACAGCTGGGATGCTTGAGATCCCGGCAAACTTAAAAATCCGCCGCCGTCGTCAAAATTGATTTGAGCTGGCTTTAAGTCTCTGAGGGTGCTGGGGCTGGGGCTTGATTCCTTGCAGGAAACTCGGTTAATTCTGATTGTTGATTTTTGCATTTGTTTGTGATAAACTTGGGCGCTGTTTTCAATTTGCAGCTGCTGGACCGTGCCTGCTGATGTTGAGGGGTACTGGGCCATTGTCCATGCCAGTATGCATCGTGCAGGCCGCTGCAGCAGCTTCAATATGTCTTGAGATCTGGGCTCGCGAGCATGAGAATTGAAATATTCACGAAAGCCTGCCGTTGGCAACTCAATGCTAAACATGCATACATACATACTTACTTACTTTCATATTGTATACATATGTATATATATATATATATATATACATGTGTCTGTATGTGTGTGTATGTATGTATGCATGTATGTGCGTATGTGTGTATGTATACGTGTATCTAGATTCATTCTGTGGGCTACGGAGCACCAGTGCATTTTTAGGATTCTGTCGGTCTTCTCCGGGCTGCTGTTGGATTGACCAAGTCTTCCACACCATCTATATGGCAAGCCCTCAGCCCCCAAACCTGAAACCCTCCTCGCTTGTGCCAAGTTGCGAATGCTGGAACCGTAAATCCATCCCTTCAGCTGGTAGAACCGACCGTCAAAGTACACGCGCACCAGAGACCTCGTCAGGCATGTCCGAGTTGCGAGAGCGTAAATCCATCGAGCTCGCCTGCGCAGTCCGAGTTGCGAGAGTCCAAACCCTAGGGGCCATGAGCTTTTGTGTGTTCCTGGAGCATCTCCAAAAACCCTAAGCCCGAAACCGTGGCCCTACCCTCACCCGAAATGGATCCCTGAAAGGATTCCCTAAAGGATCTGCAGGATCCTTGAAAGCCCCTGAGCATTTCTCTTTCTGGTGCATCTCGCAGGAGGCGGATCCGAGCCCACAAGTTCTCGCCCGAAGGCTCCAATGTGCCGATATGGAACTATAATTGCTATTGTTACAGGATGTCGGGTTTCAGGATGTTGGTGGCTTTCCCTTGAAGCGGCTCCGAGCTTTCGTCTGATTGTAGCTTTGTTGCTGTTCTTGTCACTACTAGCGGGATGTGTGCTGTTTCCTTCAACCGTGCGGGCCCCTATATGAGATAAGCCGTGCCCCGAAGTTCAAGCAGAATTATAGACCCGTCTGGACATCAATTAGCTCGTTTGCGCCCTTGCATCTCTGTGTGCTGCCGAGGAGATTGCAGTTATAAGACCCCGTACTATCCTGAACCCAAAGCGCATGAGCGGAGCGATAGTTGATGCTTATGCCTGCCAAGAGTATTGTATCCTGCGAAGCAAGCTCTGCTGTGGCGGCTCAAATTCAGGCAATCCCTCTCATGGCTTGCGAAGCAGCCTACCCGAAAGTCGGGGGCCGAGAGCTCTTGTCAGAGAAAGGACTCGCCCAGAAGAGTGCTAATCTGCTAATATTTTGCACCTGCAATCTTTGCATGATGCATGACATATCACCATTTTGAGGTAAGACGGCCTGGTAATCGTATCTTCAAGTAAGTTTTGCACTGTATGCAACAATGTGTTTGATGCAATTCAATGAAATTTTCCGTTACACACGTGGTAATGAAGGCAACGGAACGCAACGTATTGCAATGCCACGTGCGCAGCAATAAATTGCAGTCCATGTTGGGGTACTGTACTGTAATGTATCGTGCTGGAATGTAATGTATAATACAATGTAATGAAATGTGCTGTGTTGTGTTGTAAATATACGTATTTACAAGTTACGAGTATGCATGTAAGCGAGTGTGTGTGTGTGTGTGTACTGTACCCCTCTTCTGTCTTGCGCTCCATAGGCCTTGGAGTTATGTCAAGAGTTGTGGGCATGCCTGAGTTGTGAATTACCTGCGTTCCTCTCGTAACACAAAGCAAGCAAATCCTGACCAAAGCAAAAGAAGTAAGTGTTTCGTCTTTGTTTGGTTCTTGGACATGGTATAGTGCGCTTTGTTGTTCAAAGCTCTACAACAGGCTCAGTCTTACTTACTCTCCAGGCGTTTCGGTTCTGGGCGCTTCGCTCGGTGGAGTTGGACAGGGCCTCGGAAGCTTCACCTTGACTGGGGGTTCGGGTCTTCGGGCTTGCCTCCTTTTCCGGTTACAATATAGATTCCATTCAACACAGAACGTTGTAGAGTTCAGGGTCGCTGTCGTGAGGCTACAATGCCGCGGCTGTTTGGAGACTCCATGGTTTGCTGTTTGGGGTTCGAGGCTCACGAGGTTTGAAGAAGACAGTTTGTCTCACAACAAAGCCCGTAGCAGAGAAAACCGCAACGGCATGTGTGCACCGAGGCCTCGGCTGGTGATAAGCCTTTCTTGCTCAGTTCATCCTACTTGAAAACCCACTGAGCAACATTTGTTACTCGTCATGATGCTGGGCTATTCTGGTGATTGGCGCCGTAGTCTCTGTCCAGCGAGTGTTTGAGTCCATGACCCCTAAACCCTAAATCTATCAGCCTTACACAGGTCCGGCTAAAAACAACAAGCCCTAGCCCTAAACTTAGACTTCAAACCAGGCCGTCAAAAGGTCAGGAAAAACTATAACTATAAGCCCTAAGCTTAATCCTCAAACCCTTGGCCTTTGTTTGGACATCTGCAGGTTGGAACCATGCGCCGGGCGCAAGATCCAACCAGGCGCCTTGCGCAAATATGAGGGTACGAACATTGAGGGTGTAGTATAGTATAGTGTAGATAAGGTAGTATATACGGGACGCTTGTACTGCCGAGGGTCTCCATATTATGTGTGTTATGCGTGTGTATGCATGTTCGCCCAGACACTCCAATGTACCTTAATTAAGGGATATTGGAGTCTCTGGGCATGCATACATATGGTGCCACGAGCTTCAATCCCAGCTTTCTTTCATGCCGAGATGGCCTCAGGTGTTTGGACTGACTCCAACACTTGTACTTCTCCATGAATGGAGCCGTCTGTCGATGCAAGTAAAACGTAGTATAGGATAGTACAAACTACACTGTATACCAAAACATAGTGTAATACACTACAATATGGGAGTTTCCAAAACAGGGGATCCTATATATAGTGCCCTTAATAGTAGGATCCTTCTTATAAGGACCCCAAAATAAGGTACTCCTAATTTTCGGAAACTCCCATAAATCGCACTTAGGGCACTGTCAGCCTTCGAGCTGGTCTGGAGATGGATGGAGCCATTCATGGTCCCGGTGGGTTCCATCCGAACACACTTTACGGTACCCTATAGGGCTTCGGTTGCCTAAAACTTAATGGGTTACTGGTTACTGGGATATATGACATATATGGGTAGCAACCTACTGCTTAAGGTAACTGGAGCCCTAGGGGGAGACAAATGTAAGCTCTAAGCAATCAGACCAAGACCCTCAACAACGCCATGGGAGATTAACGCAACCCCTGTTCTTTCTTAACAGCCGTGAGTGCGAGTAGATTTGTACCGTGGGTGTGGCTCTCATAATTTGGCCCCGAGCCCAGGACTTGAAGCAAGACCATCCAATGATGCGCCTTCCGCCCTTTCAGGTGATGACAATGGTCGTCCTACCTCGATTACAGCGCAGGCAGCTATCGGAAAGAGGTTCCGATCTAGTGGTGGTGGTGGTGGTGGTGGTGGTTGGTGGTGGTGGTGGTGGTGGTGCCTGTGCACTTATTCTCGAAGAGTCTCACTTGGCATGGGCTTGTTTCGTCCAGCTGAAGCATTGGGATTTCGATACTCCGGAAGCTGAAAACATGCCTGGGTCTCCGCGATTTGGGGAGAGGGGTACCGCTTGTGCTGGTGGCATGTACTTATAGGTCATACTTCCTACTGCGACTCTGGGAGGGTTCTGCGAGAGGCGATAGCGCATTGAATGCTTGTTCTTGTGACACGGCAAGTCATCCAAGGGTGACGACAAGCCATCGTGGACCTTGCGCAGTGTGACCTAGATAAGACTCTCGTGACTCGTGCTAAAGAGGCCAAGCCGGAGAAGCCTTCTGCAGAGAAGGCCGCAGATGAGACACCTCAGGCTCAAGTGCCTCTCGGATGCAGTTCAAAGGGAGGCGCTGCAGCAAGTGATCCGAGTGTTTCAACTCTTGAAAGACTCCACCCCCAAAGACTTTGTTCATGTCTTGCTGACGGGTAGTCAGGTTGCAGCAGGGTTAAGCCCTAGCTGGCTTGCAAGGTCTCGTCCTTTGCAGATTGAGACCATCCACCAGGAGCGCGACAGGCATCGGCCTCTGCAGGTTGTAGTGAGAATCACCACAGTTCTGGCAAAACAAACCTGTTTGGGTTCAGGGTGCAGGGCTCAGAGATAATGTCATCGTTCAGCTACCGAGGTAGCACCACGCCGGATCATGCAAAGCCCCATACCTTAGTGTGCCCTCAGCCCTCAGGACAAACTTCTTTGTTTGTGTTTTTGTCGTTTCGCCACGTGAGCGTCTTCATGTTCAGTACTTTAAGTTTAGGCGCCTTGATAATTGCCTATACTATTTTGGGGGTTACTTATCATGATAATCATGGTCTAGTGGGCCCCAAGACCGTATTCTAACTCTGAAGGCCTCGATATTCCCTAGCTCACACTCGAGGCACGAAGCGTGCCAGCACATTGCGAAGGCATCTCCTGGGGCACCGTTTTCGCTTGAAGAGAGTGCCTCTCTTTTCAGTGCTTCCATGGACTCTCAGAACACCTTGCATGGCAGAGTAGTGGAGGGACAGAAGGTGAGAACACCACTGCATCATCACCTCTTTGATCCTATTCCTGTTGTGTCTGACGACTTTCAGTATATAATGTGATTCCGCCCTTCGCGGCCGGAAGCATACCACATAGCTTGAAAAGCCCTGGAGGACTCCAGAACTTAGGCCGCATTGCTCCTGGCATCTCCTGGCCACAGGTCTTGGCAGCTCAGTTTGCTTGCCTGGCACTTAGAATGCGCAAGCTTTTGGCATAAACTATTAGAGTGAAATTGTGACCATATTGAACCAAACGAAAAAAGTATGCTGCAGAAGCCAATCATGTTTCTTCTGGCATTTTCCGGCACTGCCAGATGATTCAGCACTGAACCCACAGGAAGATGGCAGCCGGGACTTGAAGAAGGATCTCAAGCAGTCTCTTTAGCGCATGACTGGAAAAAGCCTTTGGGCTCCGCTGTACCCCAACTCTCGGCAGTCGCCGCAAAGTCTTCAGACATGCATGGATTGCTTCAAAACCCCAAGCTTCTCTCCTTCGGCTTCGAATGCACGGGCGTGACGCCAAAAGGACGCCGTAGAGGCCCATGCCTAAGACGAAAGTAAGCGCCGAAACCTGCCGCTTTGAGGTGCCATAGACATTCAGGCAATTGCACAAGTCCTCCGAAGAACCAGGGCATCCAGCTTCAGGTGAGTCTCAACCAGAAAGGCTCGAAGATCTCCTCGCCAGCAAGGCAGAGCCAGCTCTCATAGGTTTACGGGCTTTAGAGCTTAGGGCTTTGAGAGTTGTTTAGGAGTTTTCTTTAGGGTTCTGAGGCTCTGAGGCCTTCAAGTGGGTTTGCGTGGGTTTTTGGCCTGTTCATGGATGTTGGAACCCTTGCAGAATCACTGTCAGACTGCTGATCCAAGGTTCGATGTGAAGGTTTCGAAGACTGGGCATGGGTCGGGGGCTTCGTATGCTGTAGGTGTACCGCGGAGAACAACCGTAGAACAGTCACGAGGTGTTGTTTCTGAACGAGGGCTAGCTGCCATGTGTGGCGGACTTGTAGTAGGGAGCATGAGGTTCGGCGGCTTCGAAGGTTCAATTGTGGTGCAGTGGGTCTCCAGGCTTCTTGTGCTCAGAGCTTTGTGGCCCCAAGCCGTAAACTACATAGCTGACATAGCTTTTCCTGCATTGGCTGCATCCAAGGTGTACATGCAAGCCGGACTTAGGAGAATTTCCTGACGGCTATCATAGCTAGCACACTAGGACGTATTAGACATGAGCCGATGAGGGTACTCGCACTAGGCTGACAAATGCTTCACCACAACCTGTTCCAATGATGTTGAGCACGTGAGGACAATTTTCGTTCATGACCCTGAAGTGTACATGAGGGGAGTATTCACCGTGCATCAGCTCAGCAGGCTTTGTTTTCGGTTTTCCATGTCCGAGTATATACGCCAGTCGCCAACTTGTGCAGTACGAGCAAATGCCTCCGAATGCAGAGTGGCATGTTCGACATCATCAACACATGTAAGTACAAGAGATGTAAATGCAAATGAAGAGATCGAACTAAGCTAAGAGTCGGAACGAATCAATGCAACGAGAGAATCAAGAGAGAAAGAAAGGAGGAACTAATGAATATGCAATGGGGGTGTGCATGCATACTCGCAGACAGACATCACTTGTACTCTTACTTAAACAGACAAACAATTAGATAACAAGAACAAGCAAATAATGAATACGTGCCTGCATGTTTACGCGTGTGTTCGCTTGTTTTGTTTGTTCGTTTCTTCGTATGCGCATGCATTCGGGCATGCGGGCAGGTACATCTGCAGGCCTGTGCATGAACACTTGCTGACTTACTTACATAATTACTCATAGCAAAAACAACATGTACGCACACGAGCATACCTGCATATATGTGTGATTATGAAGTAATGAAATAATGTGTATATTGTATGTATGTACATGTGCGTGTGTACTTGACACATTCATCTGTGTGCGTGTGCGTGTGTGCTTTTTTGCGCATGCATACCCACTTACATCTCCCTGTCTCTTGTCATGTAATACGTCATTGTCTTTATGTTGATGGTACATCTATGTCTCTACTTCTAGGCCTTTAGGTCCTATGGATATGCATGCATTCAAGCAGGTATGCATGTGAATATGGATGCGCACGTTACATGCATGTTCAGGTGTGCAACTGCAGAAGAAGTAGTGGAAAGCTGCGAGCAAGAGAGAGAGAGAGAGAGAGAGAGAGAGAGAGAGAGAGAGAGAGAGAGAGAGAGAGAGAGAGAGAGTCGTGCGTATGGCAAAAAGACGGGGGAGGATCCCGATCCCAAGCCGGTCCCCAAAACAGTTTTGGCACTCGCAATGGTACTGTGTTCCTGCGTAGCACGGTCCTTAGAGTGTGTTGCATACTTTCCAGCTGCAGGGGGACTGCCTCAGAACTAGGAGAACACATGGGGGAGCTCGTCCGGTGAGGGGCTATAAGGACGTAGCCTTGGGAGGTGCAGAGACGAGGCCGGGATGCGGGCTGGTGTTAAGGGTTACCCATGTCGTCGGAAAACCCCTCGCTCCAGACCCCAATGCCCCTCTAAAAGGGGGGGCCTCGGCCCGGGTCCTTACGGACGGACCTTGCCCCAGCCGGGAGCGAGCGAGCGAGAGAGAGAGAAAGAGATCGAGCGAGGGCTTAGGAGTGGTCGTTCGGGGCGGGGGTTTAAAGGCACACGCGCGCGACAGACTGTCCCAGCCCCAGTAAGGGGTCGCACAGACTTGCCGATGCGGACCGTGACGGTCAGCGAATTACATTCGTTCCTTGCACCCGATCAAAGCTGTCCTCTAATTATGCCCGGGAGAGAGAGCGAGAGAGAGACTGAGCGCCAGGAGAGAGGGTAGGACACAGATATACAACCCGAGAGAACCGGGTTAGATAGAGCGACAGTTGGAGGTATCATCTAGTTGCCCTTGCTGCGCGGTATACCCCCGAACCCTGTGCAGGAAGCTGAGGTATCCCGGCTGCGGGAGGAGGCAAAGTCCTGATGCAGAGTTTGTTTTTTGACCTGAGATTTGAGTTGAGGGTGTTGGGTCCCTAGTCGTTTTCGGCTTTAAGCCGTTCTGCAGGGAAAGTCACACTGGAAAAAGCCATAGGCACTTACCGCGGTGACGCGCTATGGGGGTTGTGGGCTCGTATGGGCAGGGGCGTCGATATAATCAGGGTTGACGGACTTGGTGGAGACATCAGGACGAAGCAAGGCCGCAGAACGCCCGGGTTTTTTGGGTAGGGTTGAACTTAAATAGATCCTTATAAAACCCCTAAAGGTGGCGGCCCTGACGGCTGAGAAGGAGTCTGTGGAGTCTGCCTTGGAGGTGGATCTTCGGTTTCTTCAGACATTTAGGGCTTCGGGTTTAGGACTTATGGTTTGAGTATGTTTGAGTCTAGGCTCCAAGAAAAGGATTTTGGAGTATGGTTTACGGTCAGCTGAGTCCTTTTTAGGTTTTTTAATGGTTTAAGATTAAGGTCCAGGGCTTAGGGTTGAAGATTTCTAGGGTGCGGGATTTGGGAATGATGGCCAGATTTGGCGTCTTCGTTTCGGGTTTGGTAATTGGCAGAAGGACTCCCTGATTGCTTGGAACTTAGATGCCTGCTCGTTCAGAGGGATCGATTGCCTTCCTAAGTACGACGCATCCGCAGTGGATGATGCTCCCGGCGACGCTAACGATGATGATGCCGATGCTAGATGATGATGATGATGATGATGACGGTGAGGCTGGTGATGATGATGAAGGTTGCGATGATGCGGAGGTGATGAGACGAAGCCGTGGACCAGTTCAGGATGGGACTCAGCTGGGTAACGACGCTGATCGTGACGGTTATGCTTACAATCTCTCACCCTCGATCCTCGAATGCTAGTGTCACCCTGCAGTTCGACAGCGATTAGTATAACCATAGGTCAGCGGAGTAGATCTTGCAGATTCCCAATGGCTCCGTCGGAAGCTGACATGTCGCACCAGCCTCTGTCACGAAGAAAATGCTGCTTTAGTTGTCCTTCCAAGAGCTTGGGCCGATTCAACCCTAAACCCACTACGGTAGCAATCTGACCTCATGAAGCCGTGCCTGCGTCGAGCGAGCGTGTGAGTCGAAACCCACTAAGCAGCCCCAAACCCTGAGCCCGAAACCCTAATTAATGGACCCGGAAGCCCTGCCTGCATCAGCGAGTGTGCGAGTCGAAACAAAATACCCGAAACCCTAAAAGCACACCTTAAAAAAGCCCACGAGCCTTGAGCCCTGCAGGCCGCCGAGGTGAAGTTGGCTGAAGCCGCCAAGGCAAAGTCCAAAGGCCACGGCCACGGCGCCGACGAAGCGCTGCAGGGGCAGGCGACAAGTGGAGTATTATCATAAGCAACTATAAGGTTTGAGGGTTTAGGGTAAGTTGATAAAGTTATTGCGATGATGATGATAATGTCATTATCTTCATTGTTCTTCCAATAATACTGATCAGTCTTCGTGTTTTATTTGGTGTTACTGCATTGCCATTGCTGCTATCAGTAGGACTAGTCCTATTTCATGGGGTTTTCTCTTGCGGGGGAAGGGAGAGGGATCGATGCATCTTGCGCGGGTGCTTCGCGGTTTTCTGCGGCTCCGGGGGGCGATCTTGGGTTATATGAAGCTGTATTTCACCTGCATGGCTTCATTTGTAAGCAGCAGATTAGGTGAGGAGGTTGGGGAGCTTTGGCACTCGGATTTTCGAGATTCTGTGTGATAAGGGTCGGCTGATGGTTTGAATTTTTGGTTTGAGATTGGTGTTTTGAGGTTTTGGTGCATCGGGAAGCAAGGGCTTGTCGCAGGTTTCGAAAGCTTTGTTCTGCGCTGGGCTCGGCACATCCGGATTGAGTTCTGCCAGCAGCATCTTCGGGGGGTTATTTAATTAGGTACTTGGGGTTGGTAAGTTAGGATGCAGGTTCTGAACTGTACAGTGGCTTGCGGGTGCACAATCGGAGGCGAAGCTTGCATGCTTCATGCTTGCAATGTTTGCTTGAGAGGAGCCGCCCCATGCGTTTGCAACAGCGGCAGGCGCCGCACGCGCCAAGGTGCGAAAATCAACTCGAGCAGCAGCTTTAGGTAGTATTATTCGGGAGGCCCCTTAAAGGGTACCCCTGCTGAACCCTACTTCCGGCTCTCTTACAAGGGGCCTTATTGAGAGGGTCTATATCCCCAAGGGTCCCCCTAATCCCAACTCCCAAGCTTGAAACCCAAAGCTTGGATTCAAAGTGGTCCGACCAGACCTCCAGGATGCATGCATGGATCTTCCTTCCGATGGTTCTTTGAGGGCTTTCTTTTCAGCTGTTTAGAGCACCAAAGCTTAGGTAGAATTGCAGTAATCACACAACAGCTGGCCGACGTCCTGGAAGCACTGTTCAGGCTGGAGAGGCCCCAGCAGCATCAGCTGCAGCGGCGGCGGACATCCCGGCTGCACGTGAAGGCCTGGAATACCCTGTTTTTTGCTCGAGATGTTCACAGCAGGATCTTGCATATAGGTTTCAACGTCCTGCAGCACCGGAAGCAGAGTCTGGTGGCTGCAGAATCAGTGCCTGGGCAATAGCCGATCGATTCGTTCCCAGCACTTCGGCCACTCAACAGGTCCCTTCAGATGTCAGCCGGGTGGTAGGTGGGAACAAGCAACCTGCGCACAAAGAGAGCATCATTCGGGGTACCGTATGTGGTTGTTTTTTTCTCTATAAGGACTCATATCTTAAGGCTATTGGGGCCAAAGACCATACTATATAAGGCCTTTGGGCTATGTTGAGCCTTAAGGGTAGTTTTCAAAAAAAACTTCCAACGGGCCCTACACCTTCTGACCCAACGTGGCCTAGGGGAGATCCGAGCTCCCAGAGCCTAAGCCCGAGAAATACAAATTCCCTCAATAAGCAGAATGGGGCTTTGGGGGTACGTGGTAGAAGTACAATCGGAACTAGTAGTAGTAGTAGTAGTAGTAGTAGTAGTAGTAGTAGTAGTAGTAGTAGTAGTAGTAGTAGTAGTAGTGGTAGTGGTAGTAGTAGTAGTAGTAGCAGTAGTAGTAGTAGTAGCAGTAGTAGTAGTAGTAGTAGTAGTAGTAGTGGTAGGAGTGGTAGGAGTGGTAGGAGTGGTAGTAGTGGTAGTAGTGGTTGCAGTGGGGGGTGGTAGCAGTGGTAGCAGTCGTCTGTTTGGATTTATCCAGGCTTTTACATCAAGAGTCCTTGCCACACAGATCCCTGTATCGGAGTCCGATAAGGATTAATTTTCCTGGCAACCTGGCAGGTCCTCTTGAAGTCGAGGACAGCGGGCCGCGGGGACAGGCCGCACTCAGACCCGAGAGGGGAGCTGGGCTAGTGATGTGACATGTTTCTTTCTCTCTCTGTCTCTCTCTCTCTCTCTCTCTCTTTCTCGAGCAATCCGACTATTTCCCTTGCTGAGAACACTAACAACTGTTTTTTTTCTATTTGCCTGTCGCTTCGTGGTTTAGTCACATACTTAGAAATGTGACTCCTTATGGTTCCTGATTAAAGACCAACTTTAATGTACCCTGCAGCCATGTTCTACTTTGTTGAGGCCCTGATAGTAGCCCTTAAAGGAACCCGTATAGTGACCCTTGCAGGAACCCTTCGAAGATTCCTGTCATTATAGCAGCATTTACATTCTTAGGACCCCTTACAGTAGCCGTTCTAAGAGTATCCTGGCCGCAGGTTGCCGCGATCAGGCGCGAAAGAGAGGAGGCTGGGCTTGTATTTGCATCAGACTACCGGCAGGATCTTGTTTGGGATAGGGTTTATGGGGTTTTGGATCATAGGGCCGTTCGGGCTAGCTTTCGTGTTTGGGGCTCTTAGGTTTCATGAGTCGCCGTTTCCTCGTTTGAGGGTCGCAGAGTCTCTAAGGACGGCACGGCTCGGGCTTCAGAGCAGACGGGCTAGGAGCAGCATCTGGGAGTAGCCGAAAATAGGGGGCCCTCTTATAGGACCCTAAATAGTAGGATCCTGATTATAGGGACCCCAAAATAAGGTACCCCTAATTTTCGGAAACTCCCATTTGCGACCAGGGCCTTCTCACGCACGGCTCGATCGTCGGATTTGCTCTTTTCTGTCTTCTTGACTTGTATGCTGCCACTTGTCAAGACAGATGCAAGCAAGATCTTCCCGGCATTCGGAGTCCGGCATGCCAAGCATTCCAGGGAATCCGCTCGGAATCCATGCGCGAGATGTTTTTGGGATGTGTTGAGCTGCTCCGGCCTCAGAAAGCCCTCGATGCATGGAAGATCGTGCTTCTGCGATCGCTTCGCCAGCTTTCACTGTGCTGCATTATGCAATGGCTTCGCACCACGACAATGTGCGTGGTGTGGGCAAAACAAGCAAGGCCCTGCCCCAAGGCGTCCGGGAAGCGTCACCCAAGTCGTCAGACTGTCAAAGAGCCCTTAAGATTAGGAACTCCTTTGTTTCTAAGGCTTGCGGCGGATATCTACGCCTCCCGTGCGCACTTCGTCCTGGAGCTGCTCCAGAACGCGGATGACAACGAGTATGCAGAGGGCGTGACTCTCGGATATGCTCGGATGCTCGAAGATGTGGACTTAAGCACCACTGTAAAGCGGATCAACCACCAACCCTCAAGGAGTGCCGAGGTCTAGTCATGTTTGACGTGACTGTTTACGGGATTCAGGCACTGCGAAGTTGCGGAGTGGTGTCTTTCTCCTGCATCAAGGACTCTTTGTCGGGCTTCGCGTTTCGTCTCATGGTGTCTCGTTTGTTGCTAGGCTGAAGTGTCTGTATGTACACACAACACCAACAACAACTACTACTGCTACTGCTACAACTACTACTGCCACCTGCCCTACTACTGCTACCTCCACTGCCACTGCTGCTCATGCCACTGCTGCTGTTGACATTTCTGTTCTCTGCTGCACCCTAGCAGCCAACGGGAGTGCCTGTGCTGGTGGCAGGGGCAGTGGCAGTGGCAGTAGCAGTGGCAGTAGCTCGGCCAGACTTGAAGCCAGTTGAGAAGCAGTGTGGCAGTCGTCGTCGTGGCAGCAGCAGGGGCAGCAGCGGTGCTGTTGTTGTGTTGGTGGTCTTGGTTGTTCCTAGCGTAGTGTGAGATGGCAGCAGTAGCAGAAGCAACTGTTCCCCCCTGAGGCTTTTGGGGTTTGCGAGACCTGTGTCCAAAGCGCACATTAGCCCGAAGCATCAAGGTGTCGAGCCAGAGGCTCGATTTCTGCTGCATCACGAGGCCGCGTCGTAGGAAGGATCTAGCTCCTCGGAAGGCTACTCAACAGTCATGTAGCAGGACTTGCTCGCAATGCTTCCAAAGTTTGGAGGTTAGCTCAGCGGGACCTAGTTTGTGGATGCGGGCCAGCCAAACTACTTTCTTTCTGGCCAGAAGAAGTGGATGCAGGGTGTCAGCTTGCAGTGTTCCGATGTGCGCTTTATTCACAAGCAACATGCAGTATGCAGATTATGCACATCCTGAAGCCTGCATTTTGCAGGCTTGTTTGTTCTGAGTTCAGCAAAGCCTGTGGCCCAGATCTTCAAGTAGCAGGTAAAAGGATCTTCAAGCAACTGTGGTCTAGAATTTGCTGCATTGTGCTACCGCGTCGCCCCAACTCAAACTTTGCCGACAGGTTGGTTCGCAGCCTTACATTGCAGTGGTCAACAACGAGATTGGCTTGAATGCTGAGCTGGCATGTTTCGGTTCTCAGGTCCTCCCAACATAAGCTGCAAGATCGCAACCCTTGCGCGGCTTCTGTACACATTGTACAGCCTGCCCCTCATGTTCCGGGGCACGCGGCCTCGGGCTTCTCCAACAGTTATCTCTCGAGTAGTGGTCGAAAAGTAGTCGAAAGAAGGCCTCGAACTCAGGGGCAAAGCATCGGCCGGCCGTTCCTCAATGCAGGCGCAAGACTTGATTGGCATGTGCGCCATATCCAAGTCTGCGAAGAAAGAGAAGGCGCATCCCGATCATCATCCGATGCAGCACTGGCGCATCTGGCAGGGTTTTGATTCAGTATCCCCAACGGAAAGTAAGAAACGATCAGTATGCTGAACAGCAAGTCACACGTGATAGTTGCGTTTAGCATGCGTGCTTGCGTATGTCAGGGAATACAAATAAGAAGCTTTTTAGTTCTGTCTCGCCTGTAGCAGGGTTGGTAAGCCTTCTTGTTTGTGGAGCGCACTTCTAGTAGCTCCCCTCAACCCTCATCGCCTTTGTTGTTGTATTGTTCGGGTTGTTTACTTGGCCTAGTTTTTGCTTAGTTTGTGAGACCGAACCTTGAGTAGCTTGCACTGTTTTAATGTGTATGCACTCTGAGACGGCATACTCGACAGCACTACCTTCTGTTCGAGCCTTGTTCAACACAAGCCGTTTCAGCTGCCCCTTCCGGAGAGCTGAACGGAAGCTCTGTCCTCCAAATCCTGCGCGGGAATCTCGAGTCAGCGTCCTGAGTGGCCTTAAGTTGCTGTGTGGTGTGCTGCCAGTAAAGCGGACTCGAGTGCACCGTACTAGTTACCGATGCGCACCAAGAACCTCGTCTGGCTTGTCCGAGTTGCGAGAGCGTAAAGACAAAACCCCTAAACCCTTATGAACCTAAATCGAGAAGTGTACCAAGTCAAAACCCTAAACCCCTATAAACCCTAAACCCCTTCGAAACCACATGTCTCTTCTGGATTGTCCGAGCGTGAGCGCCGAAACCCCTTAGTAGCACCTGAGCCTGACCCCATGACAGCGCGGAAGGCCGACCGGACCGGGCGCAAAGGCATCGGATTTAAGAGCGTCTTTGCCGCTGCGTCCTCAGATACTGGATAATGTAGGCTTTGGGGGTATATATTATACCGTAATTGTTTACAATAAGGAACCCCCAAAACCCTATTCTAATTATTTATTAAGGCCCCTACATTGCTGCGGCATGTTGGCATCGAGACCGGCGTGACCAACCACCTCACTGGAGCGATAGACCTTAAAATCCATGCCAGGACTGCCACAGGGGCATAGCATAATTACTGCCATGCCTTAAACCCTGCTTGAGGCCTTTCCACATCTTGTCACAGCCGGCAGTTAGAGCTGCTTCAGGTTAAGCGGTTGGGCGGATGAGTCCCTTCTAAAGATGAACTCCCCCACTGCAGCTTCCTGTATACAAGCGTCCTAACCTTTCCTGCCTCAGCGGGTCCTGGCCTGAGCTATTCAGCTTCTGAGGTTTCGTCCTGCCCACATGTGCTGAGCCGCCCGCAGCCCAGAGTTCTGTGCGGTGGCCCCTGAACTCTGAGACCTTACAATGACCCGAATCTAAACCCTCAGTCCTAATGCTAGAGTGGAAAAAATGCTAGAACATGGATTTGGGAGCAGTCTGCGCCCTACATGCCCAAGAACCGCCCCAGGATCATACCAGATCCCAATAGGAACAATGATGGGTGAAAGCACAACCTGATGCCTTCCCTATCCGTTCACACCCAACGGCTGCAAGACCGCCATAGCATTGCCACGATGAATTGCAAGCCTAAGCATGCCCAAAGCAAATCTAAGGTTCCTACACCTTCAAGTTCGACGTCCACAATGATCGCATGGTGCTCCGCTCGGCTGAAGACGCGTGTGTTGTTTCAGGGCAGCTCTGCTCAAGGCTTCGCACATAACTTCGTGTGTATGCATGTGTGTATGTATGTACTGTATGTATGTACGTATGTATGTCTGGGCGTATCCACATGCATACAATACTATGTGCACACACATATTTACATATCCATGTATATGTATATGTATATATATCTGTCTTTTCGCGGTCATTGATTTAGTCATTTGTATGTGTGCGTGGTATTGTTTGCTTGCTTGCTTGCTGGCGGGCTGGCTTGCTGGATTCCTTGTTTTTTTAATTTTATTCATGTATGGCATGGATGGATGCAGGTAAGCATGTATGCACGTACGTACACGTACATACGTATGTCGGATGTTGCATGCATGCATGCTTCGAAGGCAATTGTGGTCAATCCGCCAACCTGTTCTCAAGACTGAGGTCTCGAAGGCGGTAGGCTCTCGGGCCGTGCTTCCTGATCAGGCAAGCTTGCCATTGCGGAGTTCACGGCAATGCTTGCGGTTCCAGCAGTTGTGGCCTTTGGCATAGTTGTCCTGTCTGTCCATGCCGTGTTGGCGGACTGGGACTTGGACGGCTTGTCAAAGGCCTGGTCGAGCTGGATTGAAAAAGGGTTTAAGAAGCCGGATGTGCAGGAGCAGCGCATGGAAGATGCCCTGCGGAAGATGATGGTGGAACACCTCCAGCAAGCTATACGTTATGTGGCGCACTTCCTGTGCGCTCTAGTGCTGTTTCTCTTGTACCGCATGCAGCAGCAGCCGGACTTTGTCACTGTAGTTCAGTTTGTGGCGGTCGTGGTGCATTATCTCTGCTGCTGGTGGGTGTCAAGATCGCAGCTGACCTTCAACATGCTTCGACTGATGACTTTGCTGTCACATGCAGGTCACACTTTCTTCATCGTCAACACACACTTTTCAGAGGAAGCGGACTACCACTTGCTCTCGGTTGTCTCGGCGGCCTTTCATGTGTGTGGGGCTGCTGTCATTCACGACCCGCCTCTTATGATCCCATGTCAGATTTGGGTTTGTGCGGTGGAGGTCGCATGCTACTTCGGCCTGGAGGGGAGACGCCGCGGTCCTCCGTGGCATTTTCTCTGTGGTCAGGCTGTCATTCTGGCCTTGGCGTGCGGCGTCTCAGTCATGGTCCAGAGCTGGTCCCGAGCTTGCATCAAAGCTTCATTCCAGTCGGCCGACGCGAATCTCTCTTTGGAAGGCTTCCAGCGGGTCTTGCGAAGCGTCTGCGATGCAGACGTGCTTCTCGATGACAGTTTCCATATCGTCGGGGACAATACTCGCTTGAGACGCGTCCTAGCGACGCCCACCGATCTTCAAGGCGTGAAGTTTACCGACCTACTCGAGCAGGAGGGGAAGACGCTCTTCGAGAACTTCGTCCGGAAGTCATGCAACGCAGGCCAAAACCCGAAAGAGAGGAAGGAACTGGAGAAAAGTTGCAGCATTCCGCCGTGCCTGCGTGTCTCACTGCCAAGTGCGTATTCGCGGGTTGGTGTGGACATTTTCCATGTTCTCGTGCCGCGCTTTTTGGATGCTGCAGGACCCCTTCACCTTCTAGCCATCACGGAAGATCCAGATACGAGGCTGCAGCCGGAAGCAACTCTTGGAGCGATTCCAGAAGCGCTCTGCATGTACTCCGAAGACGACAACGATCGCCTGTCCACAGTTGCGGAGTCGGAGGGTGGCTACTCAAAACAAAGTCTGAGCAGCTCGATGCTGTGCAGGGTACACCCCGTTCCCGAGCTGCGTGAACTTACGATGCTCGTGGATGCTAGTACGGACCAGCAGGATGTGCTGCAAGTACACGCCAAGTTCAAGCGTGACAAGAACCTGCCCAATGACATTCACTCGTGCATGCCATGCTTGCAGACCATGCTCAGACCGTCGGATTGGCTCAGCATCCGTATGCGCGTGGCGAAGTTTGCGCACGAACAGTGCCAGTTCGGTTCTCCAGACACACATGAGCTGCCGTCCGTAATGCTTCGCAGGTTGGATGACCAGAACAAGTTCCTGGCGGCTAACACGGTCAACCTCGCCCCGTGTCGCGGCCAGGAGCCATCGAAGAAGTCTTCATTGGTTTGGGTCTACGTCCGAGATTTCGTGAATGACGAGGCCAAGTTCCGAATGCAGCCAGGTAATGTATTAGGCTGAGGAGGTGCCCTGATGCTGTTGGCGTACCACTGTTAGGCAACAGATAGGAGCATTCCGGCGGCGCAGCGCATCCTGAAGGGCATTTCGAGCAGTCGGTATATTCTCTTAGACTCTAGAAGTTGCACGGCTCCATGCTGGAGCATCGATTTTAAGGATCGGCTCAGTGTCTCTTCAGAGCTAGCATGAAGAGCCACTTTTCTGCGTCTTTGCCACATTTTCTTCTTCGAGGCAACAGCCTCGGGGCTCCGAAGCCCGTGGGCTTAAACGAAACAAGACGCCTTCTGCTGGTAAGTGCAACCAGGGTGGTCCTGTGACCGTGGTCCTCAATACCCCACCTTCCAGCGTTGGCAACCGCTTCGAATGGGACGTAATTAGTTGCTTGCATTCTGCCGCCTGCCTTCAAGCTTGTACCAACAGAAGGACCACTCTGTTTCCAAACTTCTTTCCTGTCAGCTTTTCACCACAGTTATCCTTTTCGGTGACTTGCAACACAGGCCAAAAGCCAAGTGCCGTAAGTGTTGCTCGAGCTTAGTACCTTCTGCGATATCTTCACTTGCAGCTGGGGGGTTGCTCTACATTAACATATAATTAGGAGATGTGCATGCTAGCATTGGTAGAGGTCACCAGTATACGTAGTAGGAGCCTTTGAAAATTACGATAGAGATAACTCCGCAGAGGTCGCCTCGAGATCGTCTCTCTCAGGGCCCGCTTGTGGCCCGGAAAGGCGGAAGCAAAAGGCTTCGAAGCTTCATCCGCCTTCCAAGACCCGCCTTGACAAAGGAAGAAGTTTGAATCTCATCCTGAAACCCTAAACTGCAAAGATCAACGATGTGGAAGGCTTTGGGAGCTTGCGCCGATGGACCCAAGCCCCATTTGTGGAGGCTGTCAGCTTGTCGTTCGTATGTTTGTAGCTTTGAAGGTTAGGGTGAGGTGCTCCTCTGCTAAATAAAGACTACATAAGCCACTTGGATCTTGCCTCCGCTTTGGCACTTGGGGCGAGACGCGACGACATTCCGCCGAGCACTGCAAAAAGGCAAGCGTGGGCCGTGGGCTGACCAGTCGTCGTAAAGCGCTTTGAGCGAGTGTCAGAGTCGCCAGAAACCTGAGGGCTACATCATGCCAACCTGGATCGAGCATGAGGCGAGTTCGCATGTGCAGTTTTGGGGTAACCTTCTCAGTTGGAGAATTGATGTAATTACACGATCCGCCTTGGTCCTGAGGAATGCACACACCCCTCACAGTCGTTGGCCTAACTAGGAGATGTGGACTTCTTGCTTCTCTTAGCAATTAGTGCAGGGGTAAATGCGCCCGCCGATTTTTTTGGCTGACTACCATAGCGCCGAGAAGCTTCGTTCAAATTCCGTTGCGGAGGAGCTGCAGAAGAGTGTGCCGGACGAGCTGCAAAGACTGCACAAGGCCAGGATTCGGTTGCGACGCAGAGTTGCTTGGGGGTTCAACTTCACATTGCATGAAGTGCAAAAGCTGTAGGAGCCGACCAGCCGTGTGTAAAGCTCCTCCTTCCATGCAACACCACCATTATTATGAAAGGATCACGGGCAGACCTGAAAACACAGATCTAAAAGTTTTCCGCTCGCAGTCGTCGTAGCAGCATGGCAACGCAAAGAGATGGTAATGATGTTTTACCAGTCAGTGCTGCTAACACTTTATCATCACGAGCATATGGGTGGTTTGAGGGTTTTCTATTTTGCCAAGGAAGGCTTCACCGTCATCTACCTGCCTCTGAGCCAGCCGCCAGACGTCCGCTGCCCAACACTCCTTGACTTGGAACTTCCTGGGGCTTTTGCGTGGTTTCAGGGCCTCATAAGGCGGAGTGCAATTTGGTTCCATGACGTCCTGAGGCCCTTCGCCAAATTTGGAAAAAGGGTGCCATAGTAGAAGCAGGGCTGCAGCCACTAATCCTTGGCAAGTTGAAGCTCAGTCTGGCGGTGGGAGAACAAAGCATGGTCAAGTAAGCGATGTTACTGTAGGCTGAGGTAGGTCAAACTGAGGCAGCGCTAAGTCAGCCAAGATGAAGCAGATGCAAAGTAAAGCAAGACCGAAACATGGGGGAGAAGGTTGGCTCTACGTGGTTTTGCTAGCTACGCAAGTTCAGGCGCAAGCCAGTCCAGGTACGGCAAATGCAGCACTCGACAATTGCTTAACGAGCTAAGTGACGTGTGTGTAAAGCATCACGAACTGAGCATGAGCAAAGCTGAACAATGTGTTCTATTCCAAGGCAGAGGCCGGCAAGATAGGGAAGTAGAAGATCAACGCCGGCAAAAGCAAAAAGCAGGCGTATCAGTTGTGCATGGAAAGAAAACCTTAAACCAACAGCAGTGGATAATGTCAGAAAGCAGTTGTCGGCTTACCCGTCTTCCTATCATGTGAGCATTCAAACCTCTTAGTGTCGCAGCACGTGCTTGCACAAAGTTGGGTTCAAAGGCCTCCCAACAGTCGTAAAATGCGCAGGCGTTCGAGACCGACTGTTGGAATCCGTGTGCCCGCCTGAAGTGACACGGACCGGAAATTCCCAGATCCGAGTCGAACCCCTTTCAAACGGTAAGCAGAAGCAGTCCGAAAGCCGAGCTCCGATCTTTGAAGTCTGAAGACCTTGATAACCCGAGAGTCGCACTCCAGGGCCATCCAAGAAGAGCAGCAGGGCTGTATGTGATCTTATATTGCGTATTTACGCCACATTATATTTTCTACCATAGAGAAAAAAACGTCCAAGGCCCTACTGTCCGAAGTGGAGGGCCACCTGGAGGCACCGAAGAGGAGATGAGGATGACGAATGCTGGGCTTTTGTGTACCTCTATCCCTCGTATAAGGAGATCAATTAAAGGCTATGAGAAAACTGTCGGCTGGAGTGAGAGCAGCAACGATAAAGGTTTAGGGTTCTAAAGAGTGGGCGCGTGGACAGTCTTGGTAAAGATCCTCCATTTTAAAGCTTGCATTTGCGAGGAGCGTCCCGTCCCGGGACCATATAGACATTCATATATACATATACACACAACACACACACATATATATATATATATAGATATGTACCCATAGTGTCCGTAGGCCATGGACCCAGCCACGCTTCTCTTCATGCGAGAGCCTCGGTCTTGTCAGCCCGTGCACGGGCGTGTCGGCTGTGAGTGAACTGAAACTGGTGCCCTGCTTGTTTTCGGATTATATTCTGTACAGCTCTCACAAAACCTAGTAAGGAAGCCTTGAAACGGGGTTCAGGCAACTTTTTGGACAGGTTTCGCTTTTGTTGCTGTCTGATTCATTTTCGTGCCTCTCGGTCGCCTACCATTGTTTTGATATGCCGTGGGTTGGAGAAAGCTTGATTTGACAAACGGATACAACAAGTCGGCACTTGAGCGGACAGAGGAAGGAGGTGAACCAACCGTGCTCGAACAGGCAAATGCAGAACTTCAGTGTATGAGGGGGGGTAGACACTGACGCACACAAGCGGACCTGAGCAGTGACAGTGGGAAATTCACAAAGAATTTAGGCGGATGTTGATCATGGAAATTCGTGGAATGGTGCATTTGCCAATTTTAAGCGCGACCGGGATTTGACCTGGATGTTGGTTTTGATACTTATCTGGGAAAGCAACAAGACTAGAGTGAGATTCGTTGAAAACTGGTTGAAACATCGAGAGGCTTCAGCAAGCCTTTGAACACTTTTGATCAATGCGGTGCTTGGAGAGCACGAGCAGCTAAACAGAGTGAACATGAGGCAGAATGTCGGGACATGTCATTGTGATGCATGTGCAGTTGAAAGATCAACTGTAACAAGCAACAGCACGAAGGAACATCCGCAAACCAGCGCAGCTGCCCTCCCTCAAACCTCCAAGAATCCCCAGCCTGCGTACCTTTTGAAAGGCGGCGGTTGCGGCGAATTGAGTTCCGTGGGGTAGGGCCCTCAGTGCTGGCTCGAGCACATAACGTCAATCAGTCTTTGCGGGGCTCGAGGCAGTTTGAAGTGGAGACATAGCCGGTCAAGTTCAGGGTCTGGGCTCAGTAGTCTGTATATAGTACTTGATGAAGTATGTACTCCTTCGCAGGACGTTCTCCTTCGCTTTGTGGCTACTGCCCTCCTAGCAGGGCCGTTTCGAAAGCAGTGTTGGGCAGCATTGATTCCGAGCGGCTTCCGAGTTGCGAGAGCGTAAACCCTAATGTAGGCCTAAATAATTCGAAAAGGGCTTTAGGAGTTTCTGGTCCTGTACGCTTATATTGAGGAACCCCCAAAACCCTATTCTATATATATATATATATAGTGATTAAGGCCCCTACACTAGATCCGATCACCTTGCAGGTGAGCGGCTCTCGAATGAGCCTCCGCGCCCAGGTTGGGGGGTTGCTACACAGAAACAACTCAGATCCGCCGTTCCTGGATGGTTTGACGCATGGTATGCAGTCAGCATCGAATGTAAAAGTCAATACCCATATGCTCATAAGTAGTTCCTTTTTGGGATTACCTTATCGGATTCTATACCTTTGAAACCCCAAAAGGAACTACTTTGTAGCCACAAGGCAGAGAGAATGCCCTCGCACCTCGCGGGAAAGGTGCGAGGCAGCGCTGGTCTTCAAAGAGAGGTGGTCAGCGCGGAAGAGTGCAAGGCTCCCTCCCCAGGGACAACTCGAAGCCCCGAGCCCTGAGCCCTGCCCTCACTTCCGTGTCAGCTGCATTTTATGGGGGTCTAGGCGGGGAGGGGTGGCTTCGTTTCAGCAGTTAGACATCTCAGCCGCAACGGAATTAGTTGAGTGAGGCGGAAGCTCCTTCAAAAGGGTTTTCGGGCTCGGAGTTTCACATGTAGAGCCATGGGTCAGCTCGTCTTCAAGGCTTCACAGATCTCTGCAGCCTTTGGCAACCTCTTCGGGCTATGTGCATTAGTTCGTGCTGCCTTCATGACATTAGCGAGCTGTCGTACTCGTGCCTTACGCTCGGCTTGAATCTTGAATCGAAGTTTGACCGAAACTCCTCATAGGTGTTCGAAGTAGTGTTCTCAGCGTCGTTGCCAGGCAGAGCGCCAAACGATGAGGCCGGAAGATGCGCAACTCTTGGCACGCCTTCCGGCCATTATGTGCTTCGACCGTTACAATCTCAGATGAAAACTTGCTGAGCTCTAAATCGTGAATCTAAACCGCATACATACACATCTACACGCTTTTGACAACTCCTGCCTGAGCAACCATGATTCTAGGCCCCGCAAAGAAGTTCAGGGTCCGCTTTGGGGTAAAGTGCCGTTGACCTATTGGGTGAACACCAACGTACACTGCCGGACCGTGTGCAAGTGTCGCGAGATGAAGGGCTCGAAGTCCAGTTGTCTTAGAAGCAAAACTTGAAGCCCCAAACAGAAGTGGGAGCTTCAACCTAATATCCCGATCTACAAACTTCTTGTCCTCAGGACGTTTGAGTTCTATGTCGGCAGGCGGCTTACGCAGAGCGGCACCCTCGATGCCAGGATGTTGGACTTGGGGGTCTGATTATGCTGCTAGTTCCACATTGGAGGATGCTTAACATGTGTAATGTTTCGTCTCCCAGAACTTAATGTGCCAATTGGGATTATTGTGTTTTCAGGGCAGTGTGCTTCATAAGCCTTTGCTTCCTAGGTGTCCCATTGTACATGATGAAGCTCTCAGGCTTGAGACTTCACCTCCGGTGGTGCAAAGCTTGGGGGCTTTGTGCCTGCGACTTCTCCTGCAACCGACAACTTTACCGCTCCTAGGAATCATGTTTAGAAATCATATAGCTTAAGGGGGATCCATAAAAAAATATTGGTTTCGTGTCGTTTCTAAGGGCGGCTAAGACGAACATGAGGAGAACAACCATAGCAGCCATAGCACTAACAACACCAGATACAGCGATACAATTTCGAGCCCTTCTAGATTGAACAAAGGATCGTGCGACAGCTCTTACCGGACTGACAGAAATCACAACTTCCATTCAGGTGTTTTTGGCGATGCGGGCACAAAGAGGCCCCTAGCTGTGGCAGGGCGCCCCAGCTTTGCCGGCACTGCTGAGCATCGACTTCATGTACACGGGTCAAACTATATGGGTGCGCGACTTTCATTCCAATGCCTAGCTGGACTTCATGTTGTGGCAGAAGAGGGCAGAGGCGCCCAGTATTCAAGATCTTTACAACCCACAACTCTGAGAGCAACCCGTGACCCTCTCATAAAGGGGCTTTCACAGGCGCTTCCCGTGCCAGAGTCTGCGGGAGCTGGAGCCCCGGGGGTCCGGTACTGTTGCTTACTGTTTGTTACTTCATGCCGGGCTTCCGTGAAGCCCCTGACATCCCCTAACTGGGTGCTTATCGACCTGCTGGAATGCATCTTGCCACTTTTATGTCTTTTGAAGATCTCGCAAGTTGTCGGGTTAGGAAGTTTGGAGGATTCTGCGGGTTAGCAGACGGTAGCACCACATCTAGAACGCTTGATGTTGAAGGGTAGGCTGCATGCCTTTATAAGATATGCTTAATGCTCAGCTGTGTAGTTGTCTTGGGTCAACTGGTGCTGGGATTGCAAAGCGTGCGCATCTCGTGGCGAGTCTAAGTCGAAGTGTGAGACAGAGCTCGAAATCCTAATTATTGGACACGGCTCAAGCGTATCTTTTGATTGTAGAACTCTCACAGGCGAAGAGGGCAAGAATAGCGCAGTACACTCACATAGTTTCCCGCGCAAAAATCGCAAAAAGTTCACCCGATTTCTCTACCATGGATGCTTCTTGACAGCCAGAGCCGGAGAGTTCACATTGGTCCAAATGGAGAGAGAGCATGTGCCCCTTTGCGATCTTGGATTTGGACCGCTTGCATGCTTCGTCACGCTGAAACCGCTGTCGACGTGTCATGTCTTTGCACATCTGAGCGAGCATGAACAGCCCTTGGATTCTAAGGCATTTGAGAACTCAGACGCGACGAGAGGCAACGCGCAAGAGATACAGATTGAGGATGATCACCAGCAGGCGACGACAGAGCCGGCTGCTTCGCAGAAACCGAAGGAGCAGCACCAATACCAGCTGTCGGACAATGACTCCCCATCGCTGCAAAGCTTCAGCAGTGGCGGTAGCAGCCCAAGTTCTGTGAGACCCAAGCATCCCAGACCACGCACACCACGTCAGGGTGTGCCAGTGCGGCACCTTACCGGCGAAATGGCAATCCGAGGTCAGTTGAAAGATACAAGCAAGGCATCGATACTCCGCGACAATTCATCGTGGAAGCATGAGTCGGGGCATCCACCGCATCACCCGCATCCCCATGTGACCGGGAACGACGAAACGGATAAGCAGCTCTTGCTTGATGCCTGGAAGTCATGCCGATTGATGGAGGCCAGCCGTTTGGTCCAGAAGTCCCGCTCCTCGAAGAGGCTTTTTCATGAGATCCTGGACGAAGCATCGCTGGAAGTCATTCATCGGGTTGAAGCCATCTACACTCAATCTCTGGACGAGCTTATGCAACACCATCATACCGGCTGGAGGAAGGAGCGCGACGAGAAGCGTGATCTGGACATGGCCTTCAGGTTGACACCTGATAACTTGCAAGCCGTGGCCACGACTGTGTTGAGCGGCTTCAGCTTAGTCGAGATTTTCGATGCATTACGCGACTATGTTCAACAAGATGAGTACAATGACGATACGTACGTCGGCCAGCTGGACAACGAGCTGATGCAGGACTCCCTACTCCATGTTCGGCGGCATGGGCATGGAGATGTTGAAGACAACGTTGTCCATTTCAGCTGCATGGACGCTTTGGACGAACCACTCGGAGCGCTCTGGCTGTCCAGCTACACTCCGCCCTTGAAGAGGGGACGGCACGCCCGAAGCTTTCGTGGCATTGCTTTACCTAAGCCACAGACAGGTGCTGTGCGCCTCGCATTTTGGCGCAGCTCCTTTGCGATTGCTCCGGTTTGGAGTGGCCTTGCCGCCACTGCACCCAGTGCCGTCAAGGTCACCTACGCAGTCGCCAGACGACCATCATCTGCTGCCTCCATCTTCCCGAGCAGAATGTACCGTGAGGTTTCCAGCAGACTCGCCAAGTTCAAGGATTTCCTGCACATGCGGGAGCAGAGTGCCTCCACAGTCGCCGACTGCGACATATACAATCGCATTAAGAGACACCTCATGGAGTGCGCGCCGTCTGCCCCTCACGCCTCCCGCAACGACGAGGTTTCCTTTCAGGAGCTTGCCTCCATTTTACCTGATGATTGGGCAGATTATCATGAAGCCGAGCATGTTAATGATTTCCGCTAAGGCCAGCAGACAGAAAGTTGTGACCCCTGGACAGAACCGGGTTCAGATACTCACTATTCTTGTTTGGCTCTCGGGGTTTTCTGCTATCTTTGCAAAAGCATGGTAAGCTTGAAGTATCTGCTGCTGCTTGTGAACCGTGAGACCTCGTTTAGCTTATCGGAGTTACGAGTGCATAAAACCCAAATAGTCATCTCAAGCAGCAGATTAAAGCTAAACCCTTGCCTCGCCTGGATGTTCCGAGTGTGAGCGCCGGTGAGCGCCGAAACCACAAAGGCAAAAAAACAACAAATTAAACCTAACACCCCGTAGGCTCTTGTTTCCATGCTGTGAGGTCCCTCAAAGAGCCTTTGCCACCCTGCCGCACGGATGCCGAGGAATGCTATGTGTTTCGAGCGTATGCAGTGTAATGAAGAATGTAAGCGGTGCAACTGATGCTACCCATGCTAGTCAGTCTATACATTCACTATGGCCATAGCGAAAAGTCGAACTTTTGTTGCACTTCAGTCAAGCGTGGGGTTTGCAGTGCACGGAGGTTCGCTCTAGTCGCGCAAGGAGTGGTTCCTATGCAGCTTCCACAGGTTTGCACAGGTTCCGCTGTTTTCGTGTCCATCTGGAATGGAGCTCACGGTCATGATTCCCAGATTTCGCGACACAGACAGCAGCGCACGGAGTTCCTCGTCGGGACGTCCAGAAGTTTAATTCCAGATGCTGGACTCCACACCGCAGCTTCCTGTCCGAAGTTCCTCGACATAACAAAATTATTCACTATATGCGTGATTCAATCCGTTTGAGCCGCGACCTTGCGGGAAGTGCCAGTCTGGAAAAGCCCAACAGCCAAAAGCCATGCCGAATCCTGTTCCTCAGGCTGTGCCACACGGGACTCGGTGTGTGCATCAATGCCGCTGGACTGCACACATGCATGCCTTCTTTATTATGGTGCTTTCAGTTATTCCTGTAGTCCTGGAAGTACGGCGGCCTCGTCGAGTGTCAAAAACCATTTCAGGGTTCCTACGTGGACGTAAGTCGCCCTTGGGTGTGAGACGTCTTTGTTGGGGCGAACTATGGCGAACTGCTCCAATGATGGCTTGCTCGCAGTGTGACGCCTATAGGGCTATAGCTTTACGAGAACTGGCACTTCGAGAAGCTTCAAACGCTGGGAAGTCGCGTTTTTGACTGGTCGGAAACGCTGACCTGGATCCGTGGCACAGTCGAACTAGTCACTTTTCCATGCACACGATCGGATTTCTTCAGGCCGACTGGGACGTGTCAGTGCGGAGCCCGGCTGTCGTGCTTCGCAGAGCCACACGACTCGGTTATTGATGAGAAGAAGCTCGTTTCTAGCTTATATATGACGCCCCTGATTTCCTGAACTCCCACCGCTGGCGAAGCCTAAAAGAGCGACGGCAATCTGGAACAGCGCCCATACGTGTGCTTTTTAACTGCTCGATGCCATGACTGCCAGTTTCGACATTCATACGTTGACTGCGCGAGTACTACTGCCCGTTGGTCCACCCGGTGTGCCATTGTTGTTTCCTGCTGCTTTGCTAGCGAGTTTCTAACATTTGCGGTGGACTTCTGCATGCGTCTTCTCCCGCTCTTATATCGGACGTGTGCTGGTTGATCAGTTGAGAAATAGAGCACTTCTCTCTCCCTCTCTCGCCCCTCTCTCGCCCCTCTCTCTCTCTCTCTCTCTCTCTCTCTCTCTCTCTCTCTCTCTCTCTCTCTCTCTCTCTCTCTCTCTCTCATATGTGTATATATATATATATACACACACACACACATCTAGCTATATGTATGCACCTGCAAACAATAGCCTGTATAGCCTGTCTCGCGCGAGAGTGAGACAAAAACAGGCATCGCGGGATGGCGTCCACGAAAATGCCCACAACGAGCAGCTCGCAGTGGAAACCGCCAAGGCACTCTCGAATATCTGGTATAGACTCGTAGTAAACAGCAAACTTTTGTTCTGTGTTGGAAGAGGGTTTCAAGCTGTCATCCAAAAATTGTTCAATCAGGTTTAAGGTTTGTGTTTTGGAGCGAGGGCTTCGATTCGAGTTGCTTGAACCCAAATTTGTTCCTCCTGCTACTAGTCTGAAACTAGCTAGCACTTGTGACTCTTGTCATACTTCAGAGTCTATTTCTGGACGACCACTTTCAATCCCAGATTGTCAGCGCTGTTGGGGCTGTGGACAACGACTGATAACCAATGCCCGAAGGCCTTCGCAGAGGTTGCACGAGAGCTGGGTTCACGCCTGCCCGCTACCTAGAAGGATGCAGACAAAGGTTTTAACATAACAAGAGCCGAAGAAGCATTGGCTATTCGTAAGGTTTAGTAACGGTTTAGCACCCCAATTCTGGTGATTGCGACTGTTCTTGTTATGTAGTTTGTTGTTTCTGAATGGCAATTACGAAAGCGGCATTGATCACAGGCCCTCTCTCCACGAGCAAGCTTTGGCTTCGAATGCTATCGTGCTTGGGTTTTACAGCTATCTCTCAAAGCCGTGGCGTTGCCTGGGTAATGAAGCAAGACAAATTCCCGATGTGAAGCCCAAACAGTTACAGGTTGTGACCCCCCCCTGTTCCTTAAACCTTAAACTTCCCTAAATTTTTCCCGCATCCGAATTTTCTGAAGCAGCAGCATAGCCACAAACGAAGACGGAGAAGCGGCAGACTCTCAGAGCCCAGACCCTAGGCCCAAGACTTTTGCGCACAAACCCTAAGCCCTAAACCCTAAGTTGATGTGGGCTACTGACGAACTATATCAGGCAAAAGATGCGCAATTCTGCGTCAGAACGGGGTGCATGTTAGATGCTGGCAGATCGGAGCTATTGAACTTTGTTGTTTTCACCCCTCTCTCTCTCTCTCTATCTTTCGCTTTCTCTGTCTCTCTCTCTCTCTCTCTCTCTATCCTTCGCTTTCTCTGTCTCAGTCTATGTAATAAAACGTACGTGCCACAATGACATCTGTTCTCATGTCTATCTATATGCAGATCTCTATACATTCCGGTGTATATGTATGTGTAGATACACCCCTCTGATACCCTAAGAACTGATTGAACATGTTCAAGCCCTAGGAGCCACGAGCTCCAACACCAGTTCGCTGGCCAAGGCTTCCCGCTTCTCCGGTCGACTACCTGGGAGATCGTGCACCCTTGTCGCGCGGGGGCCTCAGAGTCTAGAGGAGTCTCAGAAGACCTGTCGGATCCTAATAGGACTAGAAGCTTCCCGAAACAAGGTATCCTTCATGTTAAGAGAAAACCTGTAGGATAGGATCCTGATAGGAATAGGTCCCCGAAACAAGGTATCCCTCATGTTAAGAGCCACCCCCTCTACCCCCCAAATGTCCGACGATCAGTTTAGAGGATAGGGGGTCGGAGTTGGTGAAACTAGGACGGTTGAGAGTTTAGCAGTTTAGCATCCATTGCTTAACTATGGTTGCCAACATTGACTGTCGAACTTCATCGGCAAACCCCAACCCCCCCCCCCCCCCGAAGCCCTAAACCGATTATTCGACCCGAAGGGTTAAGATCCTTCGGTTGATGGTCCGGGGCCAGGCTGCAGATTTCGCCACCCGGTAAGGAATACCGATGAAGCCCCATATATGTACACATATGCGTGTACATATATATATATATATACACATGTACACATACATATACAGACATATGCTTATGCATTCATTTCTTGACCTTATTTGTATATGCATATGATATGAATATATGATCCCGGTTCTCGGTTCACCGACCCCCCCCCCCCCCCAATGGTATCCCCCCCCCCCCCCCCCCCAACGCACGCTCCCCAAGCCGAATCTGTGTGTGACTGTGACTGTGCAAGCTTTTTCCACACGAGGGCTCACACGCCAAGCAGACCCACACAGGAAACCCAAACCACGCCACACCACAGATGGGAGTGGGGTAACCAGCCTAAGCAGACCCACTCCCGAACCACACCACACCACACCACAGGGAGGGGGAGGAGGAACCACTGGGGGGGGGGAGGGGGGGGGCCGGCCGAACCGGGATCATATATATATATATGTATATATATATATATATGTATGTATGTATGTATGTATGTATGATTATGTATGTATGTCTCTATATATCTGTATATAGATACACACTCTTTGTGTCATGTCTTATCATGCAAACTGTCACTCTGCAGTACCGGTATGAGCCCCGTATCACCCCCAAACGTTTAGCCATATGCAAGGCTTCTGGCGCCGGGTGCGTGAGAGGCCCATGGCGGAAGTCTGAGGGTTTCTTTCGCATGCCGTTGTTTGGCTTTCAGAGACTCGGAGCCACTTTGAGTAGGAAGGCTTCATGAGTGGTACAGCTGCAGAAGCGACAGAACTCGTCCTCGTGCTGTCTTCTCTTGTGCTTGCTGGCGACAGGTGAATCTGCCAAAGTACTCTTGAACGGTTGAGTCGGAATGTTCTGGAGTTTTTTTGGATCTAGCGGGCCTCCAGCCGTTTGCTAGGTTCATCGCCGAGTTACTGAGCGCCGATGTGCCGTGCCTGCTCGTCGAGGAGCTATCCCTGCACTGGGACTCGAAGCTCAAGCAAGCAAAGCACACTTCGCTATCGTGTCTTTTCAACTGGAAGGGTAGCCTGCTGGAGCAGAACATATGTCCCTCAGGACAACTCAAGGAGTCTTATCTATTTACTGCATAACCACACAAACCCATTCAAGACCATGTGTGAATGTGGTGGCTTAGGAGGATGGGACGAGAAGCGGCGCTCGCTATGTTGCTGCCTCGTCCCGACCCTACCGGGAACATGGCTGAATCAAAGCTGATGCTTTGACAGGAATGTCAACCCCCGCAAGACCATTTTCTTCACTTCGCGGCAAGACGAGGATGCAAACCAGTGCCCCCTTCAGATTTACTGGCAGCATCGCGCCAGCTGAATTCGAACCGACCTTTACTATGATTAAAGCCTCAAACCTGCCTGGCTTTGTCCGAGTGCGAGCGTCAAAACAGCGAACTAAGCCTAACCCGCGCGTACAAGTTCACGCGCTTCGCTGTTCCTGAAGAGCGCCACGTCGTTGATCGGTGAGACGTCACCAAACAAGGGACCGGCGCAGGATGCGAAAAAGTTTCCAGACACACACACACACACACACATACACACACTCTTGCAAAGAAGGAACCTTCCCCGTCCGACCCAGCCACCGCTCAAACACCAAGGATACAAGCTCAGAAAATAGCGGCAACTCTGGCTCACGCGAGGAACCTCCCCGCCCCGCAAGTCCTCAGAGACCCTACAAACAGCTAAGGAGGCGTGAAACCTATTTTTTGGGGGTTCCTCATTATAGATATAGTATAATGAGCCCCAAAACCCTGGTCTAATTATTAAGGCCCCTATATTACACAAACATCGAGGTCAGTCCGGAGGATCTCCGACTGCTCGTCAATCAAAACCGCAGCAGCAGAAGAACCCCTGACACTGGCAGAGCTCACGGCCAGGTGCCATAGTTTCGCACGACCGTGCTGATGCGCATGCCCTTCTGGCATCCGAGGCAATGTAAGTGGTCTGGCACAAAGCTAACTGAACGATTCTTCCCTCCCAACTCATCCTTCAAACAGCTAACCAGCTATACTAAAAGCAGAGAAGTTACATCCACAGCAATCCGATCCATCACGTGCTCTTCCATATCAAAGAGAACACCGAGCATGGGCCAGTGGCCAGGATTAGTGTTGGCAAAGCTCCTCCAGCGCATGTGCTTTTTTTCATGCATGTGCAGAGGCTCGATCGCTAGGCATGGTCACCGCCGAAGAGTGGCTAAACCCTGGGACCATATGCAAGTTAGGATCTGAGGGGTGTGAAAGTTGATGATGTTTGACCGGATTTGCGCCTACGATCCGGCAGAGCCCACGGAGAAAGGGCAGAAAACAACCTTAACAGAAGCCAACAACTCAGGGCTGCTTTGCGACGGCCTGGTGGCGCGGCCGCGCCGGCGGAACAGGCCCCGGTGCTTTCGACGTCTGGGTTGAAAGTTTCGAGGTTAAAGCTTAGAAGTGCAAGATGTGTCCTTGTGTTCCCCTTTCCTGAGCTGGCCTGTTCCCCTTTCCTGAGCTGGCCCTGAGGTGTCCGACGGCTGGAGATGAAAGTATAAACCGCAGAACTTAACAATTGAACCAGATCGGTATGTAGATATGTAGTAGGATAAAGTCCTGCTGTCTTGTAGCAGCACGGTAAATGTTATAGCAGACCACCATGAATATATATATATATATATATATATATCTCTCTTGGTAAGGATGGTGAGTCTCATGAGGCAGCGGCGGCCTTGATCTCCTCTCAGACGCTAAGCACGGCCATCGGAAGGCAATCCTATCCGGCTGGGGTTTGGCTTATCCGGCTGGGTTGAGGGTTCAGGGGCCTCATCAGCTCCCACACATGGTCCAGCGACCTCAGCTACGCTGCGTAACTTGCGGGAACTTGTTCGTCTGCGGCTTGCAGGTGCTTCGTGCGAGAACCTCTTCCCCAAGGGGTGCAGGTCGAGAGTTTCACAGCTTCGCACTTTGTGAGGCTCGCAGCTGGCAGGGGGTTCAGGGTTCCGGACAGTACGACGGGTAGAGATTCAGCAAGAGCAGACCCCCTCCACAAGACTAGTGGCATTCGGGCCGAACTCTGGCCGCACAGGGTTGGATTACCATGTCTCTTTTCAGCATCGCCTGTTGGCAGACACCGAGGCCTGTGATACCCTGTTTGGGAGCCTCCATCACCCCTGAAGCCCTGGAAGCCGTAGATCCCAGTGCCCTAATACAGGGGCTTAAATAATTACCTATATACTATTTTGGGGGCTCCTCATTCTAGATATAGTACAATACACCCCCAAACCCTCTATTCTAATTATTAGGGCCCCCTATATACAAAGCCGGAAAGCCCTGGTCAAGGTGCCTGGCAACTCTGGCAGAGGTTGGGCTTTGCCCGTTCCGGGCAACAGTCGCTAAGTTCTGCATCATACGAGTTCCTCAGCTGGGCGAAGCCGCGTCAACTTCCTTCAGGACTAAAGTATGCATGGCAAGTGGAAGTTGGCATTATACCCGGATCCCCCGAAAGCCACAAGATCTACGGCCCTCTGCAGAACACCAAACCCCTCCCCCATCCATGTTCAGGCCGCGCTGAAGCATGCAACTTACGCCGAACGGGCCGTGAGCTGAGTGAGCTGGAGGGACCCGGCATTGTCAGCCGGGAAGCCCTTATCGTCCCAAATTTGAAGTCTTCGACGACACTCGGTCTGGAGACACCAAAAGGCTGCACCGTCGACCCTGAGGTTGCAGAGCTCTCTAAGCTTTATGCAGCTTTCGAGGCCAAGCTCTCCCTTGTGGGGACCAACTGTGATTTTGTGGAGGGATTGAGGTTGGGATTCATGTGTTGTCGATTCCTGAAGTCCTTGAGGTGTTCGGTAGGCGTCTCGTACTGAGCAACGTCTGCCAGGGGCTTCTCTCGGAAGTCAGCTTGACCCGTCCGGAGCTCCACAAGATTCAGGCACGCATTTAGAAAGTTTTTCGTTGGATCAATTCGAGGTGCCGAATTAGGAGCTAAAGGGTTCGTTAGCGGGCACCTCGCATGAGTTTGGGGGAAGCTTCGGTGGGTTGATGCCTGCTTGTTCGGCTTTCGTCGTTATGCTTGTAGGTGTCGGGATGGTGAAGTGATGTCGATGTTCAACCCTGAGCCGGAGCTCCCCGGATATGTAGATTTCAGCACTCATCAACGATGGCATTCTGACTTGCCCTCGATTTGATGTGCATGAATCTTATTACTGGTTTCATCTGTTTTCTGCTTCGACACCTTTGCGCCCGACTTTGCTTCAGGTTGAGGTACTTCGTCTAACACGGGCCCTGCTGGCTCCAGGCCTCAAGCCCTGGCATCCTGGAACGGGAGTCCTGTTGGGAATCGATACATGCACACTGCGCCGGACAAAGAGCTTGAGTCACAGAACCCACCGGGATTGTGAAAAGAGGCACGAGACAAAAACCTTAAACTCCAGAATGCCTGTTTTCAGTGCTGCGAGCACCGTTCAACTCGTACCGTTGTGCTTGATACAGTACCCACACTGCCGCTTCTGGTATACTACTTCTGCTGCCACTACGACTACTAATATCACTTCCGCTACCACTACCACTACTACTCCTGCTGCTAATGCTGCTACTACTGCTACGACGACGACAACTGCTGCTTGCTACTGCTACTGCTACTCCTACTCCTACTCCTACTCCTACTCCTACTCCTACTCCTACTCCTCCTCCTCCTACTACTACTACTACTACTACTAAAAACCTCCACAACATGAAATGGATTTCCTGGTCCTCTGCGAGGACCGAGCCAACCTTGCTCTTAGCGCTCCCTGCTGGCCGTGCAGAACTGCTCGAGGTGCAAAAATCTGGAGGGGTTTAAAGGGACTTGCAAAATGCTTAAACTTGTCCGCCGGTTCAGTACGCTGAGGGTGGACAATTGAAGCATGTTGAAGCTGACGTGTTGATGCCATATGCTGTATAGCAAGTGGTTACTACCTAACAGACGGAGGGCCCGTTCGTAGTACTCGCAACTACTTCAGTATTACTTCAAACAAGGGGCGTGCCCAAAAGCCCGAAACCGAGCTTGTGGAACTGTGAAACTGAAGACACCGCAGAGCGCGGCTAACGCCTTGTGACCGAGCCCGGGCTTCCCATGACACAGCCTAACACGGGGCCTTTATAATTGCCTGTACTATTTTGGGGGGTTCCTACTGCTCGCTGCGTCGGACTAAGACGTTTTAGCCACACCTACATCACCTTTCCTTGTGTCCCCCGGGCCAGGCGAGACCTTCTTCTGTGCCGCAGCATGTGGGCCAATCTTTGCCGGCACAGAGGCAGTCTGACTCCCACAATTGTCGTCAAACATCAGCGAACATGTTGGTCGTGCTCCGCGTGTATTTAACTTACACCCTACGCTTCGAAGGCATGCCGGGCTCAAGCCACTCCAAAATCAAGGCTGAAGGCTCGAAGGCGGTAGGCTCACCTCACGAGCCCCTCCTCAGGCATGTTTGCGGAGTTCGCCTCGGTGATTCCCTTTCCGGCAGCTGTGGCTTGCGGCATAGTTGTCCTGTCTGTCCATGCCGCTTTGGCGGACTGGGATTTGAAGGGCTTGTCGATGGCCTGGTTGAGCTGGATTGAGAAAGGGGCGGAGAAGTTGAAGAAGCCAGACTTGCAGGAGCAGCGCATGGAAGATGCCCTGCAGAAGATGATGATGGAACACTACAAGAGAGCCATTCGGTACCTGGCACACTTCCTGGCCGTCGTAGTACTGTGTCTCTTGTACCCCATGCAGCAGCCGGACTTTGTCGCTGTAGTCCAGTTTGTGGCGGTCTTAGTGCATTATGTCTGCTGCTGGTGGGTGGTGAGATCGCACGTCACCTTCAACACACTTCGGCTGCTAACGGTGCTCTCACATTTTCTTGTTGACACCTTCTTTGTCGTCACCATACACTATTCAGATGAAGCGGACTACAACCTTCTCGCGGTTGTCTCGGCGGCCTTGCGCGTGTGTGGGGCTGCTGTCTTTCACGATCCGCCTGTGTTCATCCCATGTCAGGCTTGGGTCTTTGTGGTGGAAGTTGCATGCTACTTCGGACTGGAAGGGGCACGCCGCGGTCCTCCTTTGCACTTCCTCTGTGGTCAGGCTGTCATCCTGGCCTTGGTTTGTGGAGTCGCAATGATGGTCCAGGAGTGGGCGCGAACTTGCATCAAAGCGTCATTCCAGTCAGCCGACGCTAATCTCTGTTTGGAAGGCTTCCAGCGAGTTTTGCGAGGCGTTTGCGATGCAGACGTGCTGCTCGATGATAGTTTCAATTTCGTCGGGGACAACACTCGCTTGAGACGCGTCCTAGCGACGCCCACTGATCTTCAAGGCGTTAAGTTTACAGACCTGCTCGATCAGGAGGGAAGAACACAGTTCGAGAAGTTCGTCCGGAAGTCATGCAACGCAAGCCAAAACCCGGAAGAGAGGGAGGAGCAGGAGAAAAGCTGCAGCATCCCGCCCTGCCTGCGCATCTCACTGCCAAGTGCGTATTCGCGGGTTGGTGTGGACATTTTCCATGTTCTCGTGCCGCGCTTTTTGGATGCTGCAGGACCCCTTCACCTTCTAGCCATCACGGAAGATCCGGATACCAGGCTGCAGCCGGAAGCAACTCTTGGAGCGATTCCAGAAGCACTCTCCATGTACTCCGAAGACGACAACGATGGCACGTCCACGGTTGCAGAGTCGGAGGGTGGCTACTCAAAACAAAGTCTGAGCAGTTCGATGCTGTGCAGGGTACATCCCGTTCCCGAACTGCGTGAACTTACGATGCTCGTGGATGCTAGTACGGACCAGCAGGATGTGCTGCAAGTACACGCCAAGTTCAAGCGTGACAAGAACCTGCCCAATGACATTCACTCGTGCATGCCATGCTTGCAGACCATGCTCAGACCGTCGGATTGGCTCGGCATCCGTATGCGCGTGGCGAAGTTTGCGCACGAACAGTGCCAGGTTGGTTCTCCAGACACACATGAGCTGCCGTCCGTGATGCTTCGCAGGTTGGATGACCAGAACAAGTTCCTTGCGGCTAACACGGTCAACCTCGCCCCGTGTCGCGGCCAGGAATCATCGAAGAAGTCTTCGTTGGTTTGGGTCTACGTCCGAGATTTCGTGAATGACGAGGCCAAATTCCGAATGCAGCCGGGTAATGTATGGGCCTGAGGAGGTGCTCTCTCGCTGCGAGCGTACCACTATGTGGGTTGCTCAACAGCGAGAGATTGGTGACATTCCGGCGGCGCATCCTGAAGGGCATTTTGAGCCGTCAATGTACACATGAGTGGTTTCTCTTTCTTACAATATGGGAATTGGGATTCTAGGGTTTCCAAGATGAGGGGGTCATTCAGCCAGGATCGTGTATATCTAGCGTCTATCCGGGATTCAACTAGCTTGCATGCGCTGGCATGAAGCATCCACTTTTTTTGGCCATGCTGGGCGATTTGGCCACATTGGCTCTTCGGGGCAACTCATCAAGCCTCCGAAGCCCGTTCGAATTAAAAAGAGTGGGAAGGGTGCACAAGTCTGCCGGCAGGCAGGAACCACGAGCATGGATTCCGTTTTGTCAACTTGATTTTAGGGACATGGTACTGCATTACTAAAAGTATAGTATAATGGGCCCCAAGACCCTATTCTAATTATTGAGCCTCCTCTAGTACGGCATTATAGAGCAAGAGTGCAAGATGCAGCAGAAGCGGCAGCTGCAGCTAGAGGAGGTGGCCTGTTTAGTAAAACAATCTTCTTAAGGAATGTAGAAATTTCAGGTACAACAACAAAGGATGTATCATAAACCATATGGTTTCTTTAAAAGGTTAGTAAGTCTAGTACAGTAGCTGTACCAGCAGCGAGGCAAGTCATAACCTGTCACTCCTTCTTGTAGTTGTGTCGATCGCAGTGTTCCACGCCAGTGGCAGTATGATCATCACGAAAACAGCAAGAGGAGCAACGCCAACAACAAAAATGGCAGGTTAAGCATGCGAAGTTGAAGAAGCAATGCTCGCAGCACAGATATCTTCTTCCCTGTTAAGTCGACACCTCAGTGAAACCACCTTGACATTGTTTTGGTGACGCTGCCAGGCCGATCTGGATGCTTCGCCCCTGCTCCCTACCGACGTCGCAGAGGCAGTCTGGCCCTGCACAGCCGGCAAAGCGGAAGGGGTTTGGTAGGGATCGAGTTGGGCAGATTTCCTCGGCCTGCAAGAGCTCGCGGACAGCACATCCACAGGGAGCTGCTACTATACACAACAGGACGCGGAGAAATACGGTATACATGTACACATGCCCACATAGAGAGAAGTAGTGTGAAGTAGTCTATTGAGGGAGTCAATCTTATTCAAAATGCAACAAGTCATGATGCTTGAAGGAAGACGCTTGCACTGGTCATGTAGGGAGAGAACGATGGTGTCAGACATCATGTTCTCGTGCAGTTGGCGATTACAACATCCCAAATCCCTCGAGGCTAAAGACTTTAACTCCCGCGGGGGCTTGCTTTGCATATATCTAGGCTCCCTTGGCAGTGTCGCCCTGGGACTTCAGGTAGGCCTGACGTCAGAAGAGCACTCTTTAAATGCGAGTGAAATCAATGAACTGTGAGGTGAGTACTGGAAAGCAGAGATTCGAGAGTCGCCCCACATAGCCTGGACCCCTTTTCAGTCCTCAGTTGCTGTGTGGGTTCTTTTGCATGGCCTCGTTTTCCATGATACTAAGCAACCTACCCAACCTACTTCTTGGCAGGTTCCCAATGAAGTATCTTTTGCTGTAGAAGTTGTAAGAAGAACCTACAAACAAGATCAAACAAGTAGGTGATGGCAGCTTGAGGCACAGTAGTGTACCCACGCCCTGAAACTATAAAGCTTGAAGAATCGGAGCCCCTTAGCCGCCCCAGGGTCGACAGCGTTGGCGCTTGCGGCTGCTTCTTCCTGAGGCCCCGGGTCACCTTATGGTTTAGAAGGATCATAGGGGGATAAAGCTAGAGATCCCAAAGGCCCAATATTCCAAAAATACAGTTATTTTCTTTTTTATTTCTAATATTAAGTAGTGTTCCTATATATATATATATATATATACATATTATATTCTATATATGTATACTCTCTTGACAATCAAGGAACGCTGTCCTCGGAAAGCAGTTCCAGTTTTTGAGACTCCACAGGTCAAGGCTTTAGGGTCTGAGAACTTTCGACCCGAAATCGCGAGCCCCGGGGCGATCACTCTACGATTACCCAAAAAAGGTGACACTTCGGGAAACTTAAAAAAAGTCCTTACGGTGCCTATAAAAAATAAAATATTCATAAATGCTTCCAAGGGCACCAAAACTACAAGCCTTTTATAGAAATAAATGCAAGGCTCAAATCCGTCAAGAACCCACCGCTTTTGTGGCGGGGTGGAGGCCTCTGAAGCGTTGCATGCTACTAGCCGCGCGGGCCTCGGTGCTCCGGCTGATGGTATAAATCCTAGGGTTCCTTTAAAGGGATCTATAAGGGTACCTGTAAGGGGTTCCTTTAAGGGACCTATAGGGTTTTAGGGAAAAGGGTTTAGGGTGATAGTATAAATCCTGCATTACCTTAAGGACCCTAAACTATGGGAATTACGGTATATTCCTTATTATGGGTAATGCAGGATTTATATCATCAACCGTCCCGTGCAGGCTTTGGGGTGTTTGAGGTGTCCGGTTCAGGCAGATTTGAGCTGAGGGTACTATTATCCGTCTGCTGCTAGAACAGTTTGCCAAGTTAGTCCTAAGATTGAAGCCGCCGCCGCAGACTTGCAACTGTGCTGTATTTTGGCCGTTGCACTTCAACGCTCCTTTAGAATTCTCCGTTAACGCTTTTCGGTTACTACTACTAGTAGTACGCAAAAAAGCCAGTTCAACTCGTGTCTTGACAGTACGATCCTGTTGCATCAGGAGCTACGCCAACAGAAGGTAGTTTCTTTTCTAGGTAGGGCTTTGGAACATTTTATATTTTCCCTTATTGGGTTTAAGAGGATCTTATTTACTAACATTTTTCAAAGGCTCTAAAAGCCCCACCTAGTTTTGGTTGACCTGTAGATATTCTTTCCCCGTCAGCCTCGGCCACGAACCGAGCCCTGCCATGTCGGTTCCCGGGTAAGCGGCCTAAACTTACCTTTGGTTAGTAGGGAATGGAAGAATGGTAGTTTTAGTAATTATATGGTAGTACTATGATTGTAATATGGTAGTGATATGGTAGTCGTATGGTAGTAATAATAGTTATAAAGGATTATTAAGGCCCCTATATTATAGTACCCTTATAGATCCCTTTAAAGGAACCCTATTCCCTACTAACCAAAGGTAAGCTAAGACGCAGGAAGTATCCCGGCCCTGGGCCTGAAGTTCCCGAGCTCAAGTTGAAGTCGACATCCCAAATTTAATATTAGTATTAGTATTGATATTAGTATTAGTATTAGTATTAGTATTAATACTAATACTTTAGTATTAGTATTAGTATTAGTATGATTATTCGTATTAATATTAATATTATCACCCGACATATCAAGTCTACCTATAGTCTCCATTGTAGTTCCTTTGTTTGGTTTAAGCAATTTTATATTCAGGATCCTAAAAGGTAACCCCAACAAGGAACTACAATGGAGACTATAGGTAGGCCCTCTTACGGACTTCTTGTGCTGCTCGCCCTTCAACTCACCCTGGACGTAGGGACTGGAAAGGGATATGGATGCTATTGCCAATATTTCGACTTAGGTAGTCAACCCAGAGCCCTATAAGAATTCAACTGTTCACCTCAAGACTCCCTGCAATGCGGGCTTCGTCCTTGCTAGGTAGGAGGGAAAATAAGAGTAGGAGACAGATCCCCAGGTCTCTCCGACCTTTGTCAAGTGCGACGTTTGGCCACGTCTCGGGCTTGGCGCGACAACCCCGAACCTCGAGCCAGGACTGCCCCAGATCTATTAGTATTAAAAGCATTCATATTAGTATTATTCTTAGTATTAGTATTAAAGCTCCGTTTCCGTTTAGACCAGTCCCCCTAAGCCTTTGCATGGTCACGAAGGACGACACCGCCCTCGAGGGTTGTACGACGTTTTGTCTTGAAGGCTTTTTGTGCCCAGTGGTAGTGGCTGTGGTCGTAGCAACAGTAGTAAGCAGTAGTAGTCGTTGTCAAAGGAAACAATAGTCAATAGTGAAGTAGCAGCCGTAGTATTTGTGACTCGCAGTGTGGTCGCGCTAGTCATAAGCGTCGCCATCGAGGTAGCTGATGGTCGCCACCGGTTCTGTTGCTGCGATTAGGGTTTCTCTTGTGGCCCGTTTTCCTTATGCAAGCACCTTCTCGATACGCATTTAGTCAGGCCTTGGGACATAATGTAGGAGCATGCCTAAATCATTACCTATACTATTTTTGCGGGTTCCTTATTTATATGATTTCAGTCATGGGCCCCCAAACCCTATTCTAGTTGTTCAGGCCCCTATATTACCGAAATGCAACACTCCCCTTTTTCAACTCAGGAGGTCTCGCGTGACCTTTTTTGGGGGTGTCTCTTCGAGTATATGTGGTCTGGAACAGTTTCGTGGACATTGCTCTTTTTGTTGCTTTTGTAACAAAGTCGCGAGCACTATTCCTCCCGCCCTAAGAAGGCATGTTTGATCTTCAAGTTCAAGCTGATTCAAGCTCTAACAGTCCTGCACCGCTCCGCCCCAACCACCCCACCACTGACACCCCTACGCCGCCCTTGACGGAAGCCGAGGCAGTGGCATGTCGTGGGTCTAGCACTGGAGATGCATGGCCTGCAGACTCCAGAGGACTGTTCATGCATGGTGTTCCAGCTTTGGTGCTTAATTGCGCGTGTGCTTGCTTATGTGTTTTGTGTGTTTTTCAAGCCGATTACCAGTTGGCTCAGTGATTCAACGGTCATGTGAGAGTTTCAAAAAAGTAACTAGGGGTACCTTATTTTGGCGTCCTTATAATAATAATCCTCTATTCAGGGTACGACGTTAAGGTACCGATTAATGTCGTTTCCCCATTAAGATACCCCCCCAGATTAGACGGGGCCGTCCCGGGCATGTCATGGGCTTAATGAAGAAGTCCATTAGACCCCACCCCTATAGTACCGGAGCTCGCCTAAACCCCCCCCGATTAGACGGGGCCATCCCCGAAAATCACCGAAGTAAGGATTTAGGGGATTTAGAGGCTTATGACTTAACCCTAAACCCCAAACCCTGAACCCTAAACCGTAAAGAACTCATGATGGCAGACTTTTCCTCACTACTATACTACTGTACTACTACTGTACTACTGTACTACTGTACTACTACTATACTACTGTAATACTACTATACTACTGTACTACTACTGTACTACTGTACTACTGTACTACTACTATACTACTGTAATACTACTATACTACTGTACTACTACTATACTACTGTACTACTACTATACTACTGTACTCCTGTTGTACGACTGCAATACTTTACTAAGTACTCTCTATCTACTTACTACTGTACTTAATAATTAGCCCCGTCCCCACATAATCGGGGGGGGCCGGGAAAAACTTGAACCCATGAACAAGTTCAAGCGGGCTAACCTTGACAGCGGGTGGGGGGGGCGGGGGGGGGGTTTGTTAATCGGGATCCAACATTACTCACATACACATACTTTAAGATGCGTATATGCGTGTGTATACACATACACAACGCAGACCTGTCTAGAGTGAGGGAGGGAGTATTCTGTCGGTAAGAATAATTGTGCCGATATTGGAGCTGTCTCGTCCCTGTTTCGTAGTCTGAAAGGACCGCGCAAAGATTCCGGAAGCCGCCTGGCCGCTGGCTCGCATCCACAAGTCCTGGGGATGTTAAACCCACGAGAAAGCTCATAATGTAGAAGCCTGAAAAATACTAATGAAACTTCCATTATAATGCACCCAAACCCCAATTATGATTCTCAAGGCCCCTACCTACGCATCGAGCTGGTGTCCACACTTACCGCCAAGGCCTAACCTTCATTACCCTGCCCAGTTAAGCAACTAAACCTTCACTGGAATCCCCAAACGCCCCTGACGCCAGAGCACGTAAATCCAAATCTCTAAGCCCTGACTCCCCCAGCATAGTTCCCTCAGGGTTGCAAAACTTTTCCGTCAGCTACGGCGCCATCAATCCCTCCATGTCCGAAGTTCAGGTGGTTGTCGCTTCGAGTCGTCCGGCAAGCCTGGCAGCTGCCGTGAGCCAAGACTTTTCCTTGGGATTTTGAGCCTTGCAACTGTATGGCTGTTGCAAGTTCGGGCAATTGGCGAATTCTGGGGCTTGGAGTAGAAGAAGCCTATCTCCGCAAGTGCCTGAAGTGGAAACAACAAAAAATCCGCAAAAGTAATGCTGCGGGATAAGGCAATCTGTGGCCTTCAGTGCGACACACTTCGTGTCTGGGGGGTTAACGGTAATTGTAAGCGCTTCACATCGTCCGCCTGAGCGCGGTCGCAGGTTCAGAGCGCAAAATACGATAATACGACCACTGAAAGCGGCATCTTCCAGATCGTCATGGTCGGAGATTTGAACCATCGCTACCTGACAGACATAACTACTTCATCAGTCTATTCCGGTCGGTCTATGGGTGTAAAAAAAGTCAAAACCACAACAACCCAGCTCATTGCTTCAGAATTTGCAGCAATCCGACCACAAGTCATGTTCAGCTGAAAGCATTGAGGTCTCCGTCCGCCCCTGCTCCCGACATTCAAGAAGCGGGGCCGCTGGCCGAGGTGGGTAAGCATTGTGTTTGATTCGAGGTGCCTTTTGACAGGTTTGAGTGAAAAAGCCATGAGCGGAAATAGTTGCTGTGAAGCCTCGTGTCAGCCACTGTAGAGCCCCTGTGTCAGCCTTAATTATTATGAGTGCCAAATCCGGAACACTTCATCCACCCGTGCCACGACAGGCAGACCCGCTCGTGGTGCAAGGGCGTGCTCTACTGGCACGGGTCCTGGGCTATCCATCTATTTTTCTCTACCTCTCTCTCTCTCTCTCTCTCCCCCTGTTTTGGTTTCTCTCTCTCTCTCTCTCTCTCTCTCTCTCTCTGTCTCCCTCACTCCCTCAGCCAACTCACTCACTCACAGACTGTACTGTTTGTCTATATCTGTATCAACCTCCAGGATGCAGATCGGATGAAGGCGATCCTGTTTATTCCATCCGAGTCTGGGTGGGAAGCTTAGCATGGTCGTCGGTCATCTGCCGTGATCAACGCGGGAACCTTCGATGGGCTTTGAGGTAGGGCTATCCATCCCCCTACCTGCCGGTTTCGTGAATCTGCTCCTCGTGTGCATGTGAAACAGGCTCTTGCATGGCCCTGCCGTTTGCTGCCAGCTGGTCCTGGGCCAAGAGGCCCGTCTTTAGGGTATATAGGTTATATATAAAGTACATAGGGGCAGCTTCCGTCTGTTCACGTGATGCGACAACGACGACGGAGACGACTGCATGTACACTACTGCTGATACTACTACTGCCAGTCTCTTTATGAGTTCACCAATGCCACACCATCCCGTCAGTTGCTGTTTCTCGTTGGCAATCTGTTCCATGTCGTCATAAGTGTGCTGATTAAGCCCGAGTCTTTCTGTTAACAGTCGGTGTTACAAGTATGATGAATCGCAGGAAGAGGGCCTGCGAACGCCGACTCGACTAGGGGGCTCTAGTAATGAAGCAACAACGTCCGACAGCGTTTGTTTCTTTGGCGGATTTGGAGGTCTACTGTGGCATATGACCAATCTAGCAAGGTCGTTGATCCCACGACACGACGAACCCTACCTGCGTCGACTGCGTCCCCCAAGCTTTCAACTAATTAGTTGCCACAAACCCGCAACACCAAGCTGGCGCGGTTGTCCGGGTGGCTGAGTTGAGCTTGGAGTTCCGGTGGACAGACCCGGAAGCCGAATCGACCTGTGGGTGTGGGGTTTCATGTTTGGCCTTGGAGGTGCGGGCTTAAGTTCAGGGGCTTGGTTCAGGGCCGTTCTTCGAACAGCAAGACCCCTCAGATCTTGGATCTTCACATTCTGCGGTAGTGAAGACCAATAGGTGGGCATGGAAAGAGCGACACTGACATGACAACTTCACATCGCACTCCCCTAGCGGTTGGATGATTATTTGGGTGACCATTTTATCAAAAATCAGCCACTTGCCTCGCGAGGCCACTATTCCCAATCCCAAGCACTGTTTGCTTTACACTATGAGAACTCTTCGAACTCTTCGGGTCAAATCGGGCCCCCTTTGCACCATACTCTTTATCATCTTGGCTCCAGGTAGGCCTGCTAGTTACTGCTAGTTGCCGCTAGTTTTCAAGTCCTCCTGAAGCAGCTGGCCAAAGCTTAGCCGAAACAGGTGGCGGTTGGGATGGATGCGAAGCCACCGATCCGCCTTCCTTTGGTGCATCCTGCCGAGGTGGCTCGCTTCAAGGGCCTACGGGGCTAGGGGCTACGGAGGACTCTTCGGCCTTAAAGAAGTAAACGTCATACATCTCTATCTATGGACCTATTACAAACCCTCGAAGCTGTGCGAAGCCGTAAACTCCCCCTTTGCTTGAGCGCGGTAGACTCTTCACCGTTAGCCGTCACCGAGCGCTCTAAGCGTCTTCGGATGAAGAACGGAGGCAAGCCCTGGCTTTCAGGATTTCTCCATGTTTTGCGTGGATCTTCGAGTGTAAATCTAGTTGCCCGATGAACAATCTGACTGTGTTGGTGTTTAGAAAGTCTTCGTGTCATGATGTGGAGGTTTGCTTCTTGTATGTTAGTCTTTGCACTTGGAGGGCCGAGAAGACTTGTCAGCAGCTTTTCCAAAAAGTTCCAATTGGAATGCGACGCTGGAGAGACACCTGGTCCGAAGTCTTTCGGCTTTTTTCCACGAACATGAAGACCGCGTTGCGTACGATGAGCACAATCCACATGACGGCTCAAACCTTATGATAATATGGGCTGAAATAATTACAAACACTAGTTTGGGGATCCCGTATATTGGGCCCCAAAGACCCTATTCCATAAGGCCCCCAGATTATTCCCTATCTTAGCTTCTTCGGCCCCAAACCGCATCAGCACTCTGTGCTTTGCGGCAGGCGTTTCGGGAGGCCTTGTGCTGGGAGCTCGCAGCCCAAGAGTTGTCCGCGAATGTGGGAGGTCCCCAAAACGTAGGATACTTTGATGAAAAAAACCGCCTGATACAGGACTCCCTGCCTGCCAGTGCCTGCAAACCCCCACGTGGTGAGCAAGAGAGTGACCAAGGTAGAGTTCGCAGTTTTCGGGAATGTTAGAATGTTGTAGAAGAAGAACCACGTCTTAACTTCAAGCCGTTAGAATGAAGCTTGATTTGCCACGGTTCCTTTCATGACCTCTTGCGGAGAAACCTCCGGGTGAGGCTGCGAAAGACAAACCGCACTTCAGCCAGCAAGCGTGTACGCACGTACATGCATGCATACATACATGTACGTTAAACTGTATGTATGCATGCATGCTTGTATGCTTTGTATGGTATGGCATATGGTAGTGGATAGTATTGGATTTATCGTATTGCATTGATCTATGCACGTATGATAAATAATAAATGATCTTTTGGGGGTGAGTTCTATTCGGCCATCACATACTTGCTTCCAATCATGATGTCAGGTTGCTCCAAGGTAGTAGAATCCCAAACCCCTAACCCCAAAACCCCAACCTGTCCGCAGTCCCGAGGCGCTTCCTCCGATGGCTTGGGGCAGAGGAGCCGGCCTTGCCCAGACAGGAGGTGCGATCCGCAAGTTTTTGAACAGAATGAAGGGATCCCCAGGTTTCACTCGAGGAAGCGGGGGTGGCGATGTGGTTCCTGCTATGGGTCTCAGAGGCCCACGACACGCAGCTTTTCGGGGGTAGCTGTAGCTTATGGGAAGAGACTTCAGCATCATCTTCTTTGCCTGCATGAGGTCCGTGTTTGCTACACCACGCCAGGCCATATACAGAGGTACAGAGGCTTCGAGAAGCGCTGTGTGACAATGTTTCCCGAGCACCTTACGGATGATACCACGAATCTGTCTCATGCAAGTAGTGACCCCAATCGGACATGGATCTCGGGCCTGACGGTGTGCAGCATCTTGTTGACCCGCACACTGACAGATGAACTTTTAGGGCTGTGAGGTCTCAGATGCATGTGTCCTTGATCCTGAATCATCGTCACCTACTCTGCCATGCCAGAGGCGGGCACCCGTAATCGGTCCGAAACATAACTTGCAGGCGGTAAAGGTCACGGCGAAGCTACTGGATCCGGCAGCAAGCTTGGGCCAGACTGTGCATGACGGGGATTCAACTGGGGTTGGGGTTATTCTAGGGCCGTTCTACACTCTTTTGAACAACTGAAGTTGGGGAGAAGTGTTTGTTGCTTTCCTTTTCATTTAGAACTTCTTGTTGGGTTTTGTCAACGAGACCGGGTGCAGGTGGCAGATGTTTGCAAAACTTCGCTCACCCCAGCCAAAGCACCCTACTGTAGCAGTGGGGCCTTAGTAACAGCCTTGGTAATTAGAATATGGTTTTGGGGGCCTCTTGGGGCCCATTATACTTTGAATAAAGAACCACCAAAATAGTATAGGTAATTATCAAGGCTCCTATATAGAGCCGGAAGCCGGAAGCTTCAAAGCCCCCAAAACCACCTCGCCCGGATTTCCTGAGTGAGGGCCGCAAGCGCTTCGATCTCTTCATATAGGTGCTTTAACAGTTACCTCTACTATTGTGAGGGTTCCCTTAAGGGTCCTTTTAAAGGGTTCCTAGGAGGGTTTATTCATAATGACCTATACCGTTGTGTGGGTTGCTTAATATAATTGTCGTAGAACATACATTAAAACCCCATTCTAATTCTTAAGGCCGCCCTTACCCAGGACTGGTGGCTCTTGGTGGAGGCCCGTCGGCAAGGACATTATTGAAGCTGCCGGCAGCAGCTCTATGAGGGACCTCCAAGCAGGATCCAGGTGGTAAGAGTGGCAGCAAGAACAAGCGAGAGCAAGAACATCGGGAATTTCAATGTGGGGCAGCTCCATGGCATGATGTGTGCCGGAGCTGATGTTGCGATTACGACGGTTATGACATTTTTAGTAGTCGTTTCGGGTTGGTACTGTGTAGGCCGCTGCCAGCTCACAACTACCCTGGCTGCTGTCACGATTGCAGAGCTTGCCACCGCTCCCGTTTGATGAGGCCCGTGTTTGTGTCTTGCTGGTTGAGGGTTCAAGGTTCATGCATGCCGCCACTGCTCCATGGCAAAACATGTCTTTCACATTGATGTCGTTGTGGATCCAAACATTCAGGATTGTGTGCTGTTGGACCTGCCACATGTGACCAGGCAAGTTTGGCTTCAGCATTCGGTGGTCGTTAGGTGGCGTACCTGTCCTAGAGAGTGGAGTGATAGTGTGCCAACTTTTTCGGGCCTCGGCTGAAGAATTGCAGAGAAGGCAGTGCTGGCAGTCATCAAGTCCAGATTCAAAAGTCGGCACGCATGACAGTTAACTAATGCCAAGTCCTGCACAAGACTTGAAATTTAGCATCGCACCATATGTTGACCATCATCGTACGCGTCGCCTTCGTCGCTAATATGCTACCATCCTCACCCTGTTCATCAGCTTCGTTTATTGCGACCACCACGACACACCACCACCGCCACCACCACCGCTGATCTTAACCAGGGGCCCCTCCAGCATCCGCATTATCATCGTGACGGCCATCAGCTTTGGCAGTATGATCACCACCAACCGTGGCCATCGCCTCCGTCGTCTTCTTATGGCGGGCTTTACCAGCATGACCATTGTCACAGGTTATCATCTTTCGCAGGGGCACCCCCGGTGCACTCGTGTGTTCATCTTCAGGGCCTCCGGATCATGAACCTTTTTGTTTTGGTCTTTATTTTTGTTTTGCCTCCTTTCGTGCTGTTAGGCAGCAGGCGGATTCGTGCCCTATCTCGTCCAGTCGCTGTCATGCGTGTCGCGGTGTTGGTGGGAGTGGCGGCGGCGGGGGTGGTAGCCGTGGCTGTCGACGCTGCAGCAGTGGATGCAGCAGCGGCAGCAGCAGTTTATGTACAGTGCTGGCTACTTCAAGCATTAAATCATTAACACCGTGAAAAGTAAGCTCGGGCCTACCAAAAGCAGCAGCATAGCTTTAGATGCGGATGCCGACACCAGTGATAGCTACCATGAGCACAAAGACGCGAATTGGGTAGTTCTCCAAGTTAGAGCCCTGTTTGAGGTACTCAAAATTTTTCGACACCCCTACAAAAACGGACAATGTAGAGAACTTCCCGACGAATTGGTGAGGAGGGCTGCTGGGAGCTCTCGCAGTGTCTCTCTGCCGACTTCGCCCCCTTCCTGCTGGGCGCAGGGACCCCGGAGAACAATTGTGTGTATAGTAGATTAAGCATATTTACGGTACGTATAAGATATATCATAGCCTATTACCGTAGATGAGACTAGAATGTTTCAAATAATGCGGAGGTCGAGGTTTGCTTCTTGATGGTAGTGTGGAGTCCTTGTTAAAGGCACCCCGTTTACTGTGCATGACTTGTGAGGGGGTTGTTTTTGCTGTTAGTGCTGCTGCATGCTGTGCAAGATTTATACAGCTGCTTCAACGCATCGGTGCGTGCGTGATATGCCGTGAGCCATGTGGGAGAAATCTCTCTACATTTTGCCGGCACTTTCTAGCACAGGCTTTCGATGATTAGTTCGAGTGCTGCCTACTTTGCACCCATCATGTGAGCACCAGGTGCAACTGCTCACAAAGAAGCAGCGGGGGCCTCGGGTGGATGAGAAAGCCTAATCAAGCAGGCCCAATCGACCCAACTTGACAGCACGGGCACCATCCACTTACATAGCAGGCCTGTGTTCCACATCGCCGATACACTAAATACAATAGAGACCATGTAGTATATTGTACAGCAGAGTATGAGTCAGCAAGTCTGAGCCGTAATCTTTGACTTTGCGTCTTGGCCTCTGCCAAGGCCATCGTCGGCAACACCGCCGCTTTGCACAGCGAAGGGTGCCGAGTTCCCACCTGTTTCGCCTGGGAGCCTGGCAAAGGGTGAAGCCTAAACCCTTTTTACTCATAATCTTTCCTCGCTTGTGGACATCGATTCCAGGGAAAAAAACACTGAACCCCCTGAACCTCCTAAAAACCTAAACAGGGGGGCCTCCGGACTTGCTCCGATCGCTCCAGTGCATCTCGACCAACGATTACAATCGATCCCTTGGCGCAGCAGACCGCCCTTTGCACAGTTCCCCCCGACCTTAAAGCCGGGACAGCCGGGAAGGGCTTTGGTGGCTGAGTGCTTCATGGATATGATGGTTTGTATAGACGGTCGGGCCTATCTGGAGGTATGGCCTTCGGCAAGCGCGATGAATCATGTACCTGAACCTCTTGACTTGAGCCCCTGTCCCCCAAGCTGGTGCCAAATTGGGAGCTGAACATCGGTTGAGGCATATCCAGTTCAATGTTCGGTGTCCTTGTAGCTTGAACTCTTCAGTTGATTCTCTATCAGAGTTCCAATTCGCTTATGTGCATTACCTCGGTGCGGAGGGAGCAACCGTAGACAACCTGAGATCTGAATCCTGAAAGGGAGGTGGCCTCCAAGAAACTACCCCGACACAGTGTGCCTGCGGCCTAAGAGGTGAGATGCCCTACTATTGCTGAGTTCAGACCTACTTGCACTCAAATACTTGCTCACAGGTTCGCCATGTTGTGTGGTCTCAATCTCTCACTCTCCCATACCCACCCTTCAGCGACAACTCCTATGTACCTGCACCACCCATACTATAGACCATGGATGGATATTCTTCTCAGGCGGCGCTGCTTGAGCACGAAGCTCAGCCTCTACAAGTTAGCGCAAATTGAGAGAGACAGAGAGACAGAGAGAGAGAGAGAGAGTCTCCAGGTTGACTGACCTGCTTCTGGCTGCGTGCAAGCAAGAGTCCCCAACAGCTAAGTGCGAGGCCATGTTGTGCAAAGGATTCCCGATCCCAGCAGCTGGAAGAGTAGCGGTTGGAGTAGGAATCGGAGTTGGAGCTTGAGTTTGAGCAGCTGGAAATAATCGGTACCATCACAGCGTCACACGTGTTTGTGGTCCGGGTCTTCCTGAGCTTGGCCGGAGCCGCATTTGGTGAATTCAGCTTCACTGGAGCCAGGCTCGCTCGGCGTGACTTTGGACGTCGATGCAAAGTCTTTGTCTGAAAGGCCAGTGGCCTCAAGCATGCTACGCATGTATGCAAGATTGCTTTTTGTCGTGGTATTGCCGCCAGAATGCAGAGGTCCAGTCTCGACTGTGCTCAGTGTTCGTCGTTTCTCACGACTCGTGTTGCACCTGCTTTCTGCGCTCTGCCAAATCCCAGGTGTGTGTTTTTGGACTCCAGGCAGACTTCCCCAGAGTTCCGTTGGCGAAAAGATCAGATGAGCAGGTGTCTCGAGCCGATGTTGGAGGCAGCCGGAGAGAAGTTTGCGACCAAGCTTCTCCTCGTACGTGTTTTCTGCAGTGGTTGTAGTTATACTTTGAGTACAGGGCCATGGGTTTCTCAGGCCTTTACTGATACTAAGACATTACAAGTGAAGTTGAGCGTCTCCTTGGAACGATTGGGTTGAGGGTGTGCAGTTTGCAGGCTTCATGCAAAAACATATCTTAAACTTAAGAGCCTTTGCAAGTAAGCCCCAACGGCGCTCGGAATTGTTACATACGACTACGACGAACTACACGAAGCGCGACAGCTGGTTCACGGACAGCCAAGCAGAGGCAGGGAAGACGGAGAGAACAAGACAAAGAAGGGCCAAGAGTGAGAGGTTTTAGGCTTGGGGTTTCGCAGTGGTGGTTATGCACACACCTACGTGTCCACTTTGACCGCTTGTTCCTGCTCCAGCTCTGCAGTCGACGTTATAATCACAATCTTCTACACGTGCGACTGAACAAGCAGCAGAAAGGAAACTCACAAGCAAACCAGACTTGCTCAAGCATTATCGACCGCTGATGTTTCAAGTTAGAAATCGCATGAGAAGGTCCGCATCAGACTTCACAGCCAAGACATGCCAGGCTCTGCATGAGGCCTAAATGAAGCATACATCAAACTTCTTCCAGGCCAAGGCCAGGGCCAGGCCGCAAGCACAGGTTCCAGGTAGGCTTTGATGAATCCGTTCCTCCTGCTATCGCCATGAAGATGACGGACAACGCTGACGCGGTTTCAGAGGCCGCTGTCTCCAGGTCTGTTTGAAGATGTCGGTCATTGCTGCCACGTTGGTCATCACACACTGTGCCCTACGAGCTACTACGACGAATGCCAACACCAACATAAAGGATAACTTGCAGCGAGTTGAATTCAATTTTACTTCGTAAAGACCGCTGCTACTGGAAAGCCGAAGACTAAACTCCCACGGCAGGTTGACACCGCATCGATGATGTGCCGAATCTGTTGGGAAGACTTGCAGGAGGATTCAGACTTCTTCCAGCCATGTCGATGTCGAGGAACCCAGCGCCTCGCTTTGAGAGTCTGGATTGCGCCATGAGATTCAGAGCTCAAGATGCGCAGCGGCGGTCTTGTGGCTGATTGCGATCGGTGGTGTCGAACTACTCACGCATTTTCAGCTTGGTGTATTGATGTCATTCGTGTATCTGGAGTATGGAGCCATTTGCCCGAAAGCCTACACAGCAACTCTCATGCAATTTTGATTTGAGCACAAGGCAGAAAAGACATTGACTCGAACTGCTGCTTCGGCGGCGCACGGGGTTTCCACACGCCAAACATCCTCCCGTCAACGGGCCTGGTTAAGTTTTCCCCTGAGGGGCCCCATCCGATGAGCTTACCAGAGACTGCATTCCCCATTGGCCCATCTTACCCTACCTACTACCCATAGGCTCCATAGTAGTTCCTATTGGGGACTTCCTTAAAGGATTCTAATTACATATGAAGCCCAAAAAGGAACTACTATGGAGCCTATGGGTATGCCCAACAAAAAGGTCCAAATGGTCACTCCAGCTCGGCTCTTTCCCCAAACTGCTCAGCCACAGCTCCCAAGCACGAGCCTGCCCTGCTAACCCTGGCAGTCTGGCGCTTCCTTTCATGACATAGGGCCTTGGCTGGCATGTAAATAAATACCAATATTACTCCTTATAGGGTTCCCATTATAGCTATACTATAAAGAGACCCCAAACCCTATTCTGATTATTAAGGCCCCTGCACTAAATGTTATTCCGAGCTTTCCCAGGCGCTGGGTTCATCGCTCCTGCTTCCATACCTGGGCCAAGTCATCGCCCGCCAACGCGCTGAGATGCCCCACCTGCGGTTATCAGCCGCTCTGCGCAAGATTTGGTATCGTGACGACGACTTGGAGTAGGGTCTTAAGGCAGTTGCAGCTGCTGTCGACAGTTCGCCAGGTTGGCAGCAGGATAATATTTGGGAAGGGGTTTTGCGATCTTAATTTATGTAGGGGCTTTATAATGAATGGCTCAGTGTTTTGGGGGTTCCTTATTGTAGCTGTAGTACAATATACCCCCAAACAGTTTTCTAATTACTGAGCCCCTACATTAAGCCCTTCTAGGTGCCCGGGACTGAGCTGCACATGTTTCCGAAGCGAGTCGAGAAGAACTGCTCGGGTCAGAGCTTCGGGTCCCACACTTTGAGGCTCTTGCCGGGTCAAGACTGGAAGCAGCTTACAGAACTACTTGTCAATGTGACCGCGCATCGAGCGTCACCACCCCCTCTGCTCGCGAGAAAGCGAGCTAAGTGTCCCGACTGAGAAGTGACGAAAACCCCTGAAGAACCGCATCTTAGGTACCGGCGGGTCGTTCGAGGGTCCTGGGCCATGGCCAGATCCATGCTGAAGGCTCGCACTTCCGAAACAGGGGGTCTGAGGGGTCTGATTTGTCGAAACTCGCTTCGAGCTACATGAAGCCCAGCTTGGAGGGAGTTGGAGGGATCTTTTGGCATTTCGTCGTGGGGCAGTCATTCAGCCAAGCGGCCTGCAAGTCTTTGGCCGGGGTGACGGGCCAAGACGATGCAGCGGACTTGGTCGTTCCGTGGTAGATCGACAAGTAAAGTCTCAGCCCAAGGACAATCTATAAACTTCGCCTGAGGACACAGACTGCAGACGTGAGGATCCACAAACTTCTCATGTCATGTCCAAATAGCAGCTTTGCAGCCAAGCTTCTTTCACCAATGTTGCTCGGATTTCCGTGCTCAGAAGTCTCACCTTCTCGCCAAGCCATAAAGAGTCGAAGCCCGAACCGGACCCTGTCGCCTCAAACATGAACCCTGGCTAGTCTTCGAAGTGTTCGCGGGCTGCGGTTTCGAGGCCAAAGTCGCCAGGACGAAAATCCACTGGCATCACGAATCTCATGTTTGTTACTATTAGTTAGTACAACTAACGTTATTCCTGTTATCATTGTTGCTATTATATACTTACTGCCAATATTAATCGTGCCAGTGCTATTCGTATCCCATTCCTGCCGTTTTCCGTGTATTGTTATTACTAAGAAGTGCGGCATATCTGGCCTTTTTGTACCTCGCTTGAGGCATCGTCATTCTTGTGACGTGGTCTCGAAGCTAACTGGTGCGTGCATAAAGCGTCAGCCCCAAGCCTATGAATCCCTTCGCCACTCGTAAGCTTGAAATGCTTTTACTGTTGAAATTCCGACTGTATGTCTGGAACCTTTGTAGACTTGGTTTGAAGGAAGCTTGCCGGTGGGTGGCGATGGCGTCGTACTTCATTGCCACCAGGGGCCTTGCGAGGACGGGCCCTGCACGCAAAAGCCTAAATGCACACCTAGTAGCTAGATAGTCCTCGCTGCACCCTCCTTCCAGCATTTGCACGTCACCTTTTTTGGAAAGATGACTGTACGCAGGTGAATCTGCAACTACAGTACGATAGCACATGCAAAAGTGGAATTGTCCATCTCCGAACTGATCCAAAACTGACACTTGACAGTAGTACTAGCCGTCGCAATGGTCACAATACTACAATCATTACATGTTCCCTTCTGTTGCAACCAGGTTTTCGGCGGGCTCGGGCTAGTCGGCTTCGATTTCCGTTTTGCCCCTTTACCAAAATTGTAATGAAAAGGAAAGGGTAGTCAGAAAACAAAGGAATTCAGAAACCGACAGGATCCAGGCGAAGGGGGGAGCTCTAAGAGTCCGGGTAGGAGCTTAAGGCGCCAGCACGGTTCCTATATTTTGGATACTGCCCCCACTCAGTAACAGTTGGATAGTATGCATAATATGGATATAATAGGCCCTTATAATCGTAGCCGTATTATAGACTGGTAATTACTGTATGGGGGCAGTATCCGACCTATATTAGCTGAATCCCTTCTCTAGGAACCCGGGAGTCGCAGGCAGATCTACAAGGGGCTCCTGGTGGATGCGAAAGACGGCCGGCCCTTCTCCATGAACATCTTTTGGCCGACAGGAGTCCCTACCTTCCCAGAGGATATTATCGGCTTTGGGGCTTATGAGGGTCTTAAGGGTTCAGGGGTTTAGGGTTTGTAGGGCCTAAATTGTAGCAGGCAGCAAGGAGTGGGGGCCAGGTCCGAGAGAAGTGGAGGGTTTTTACGGCGAATGCAATGTGCCGATGTTGCGGGGCACTGTGAAATTGAAAAGGTGATTGACAGGTTTGCAACACGAAGCCCTGGATGATCAAAGGAGTCTGCTTCGGAGTAACGGCCCTATTTGCAACTCAAGCTGCTCACAAACTGAAGCATGAGCGGACGAAGTCTAACACCATGCTGTTCAAGCTGCTTCCGACGGCTTTGGAGGAACAGCTTCACATTTGGGAATTATGAGGCTGTTGAATTTTGGTTTCCATGTGTGTGGGCTTCAGGCAGAAGGCATGCAGCAATGCAATCATCCGCACGAAGGAGCACGAATCTTTGCAAATCGGGCATTTGGTCAATTTAACACCGTTTATGCTGACATTTCTTCAACTGCATCGACACCCTTCACAGCAGCGCCCAGACTCCACGCCGAAGCCTTTCAAGTTTGCTGCCTTGCTGTGCAGTATTCCTCGTGGACAGCGCTGGCGAGCTACGAGGAGCTGGGCGAATGCTGCTAGCCGATACCTGCGTGGCGGCAGCGAAGGCTGCAATCAGTCTTGGGTTCCTGAGTACACAGAAGGTCGTCTGTGTTTGTTGAGAGAAGGGGAGAGAGAGAGAGAGAGAGAGAGAGAGAGAGAGAGGGAGGGAGAGAGAGCGAACGAGCGATGGAAAGGAAGAGAGGGAGGGCACCTGACTCGAGAAGAAGGCATTGAGAGGAGGTGCAGTCCAGCCTATTCACACCCCAATTGTGGCGTTGATCTCGTGCCAGCGGGCCTTCAAAAAAGAAAGTGTAAAGGTCTCCCATGCCGACACCCGCCTTCGCCTTTCCCGAGGCATGCGCCTTGACCTTCAAGCGGGGACTCTGGTGCCTTCGCACGCGGGTCCCGTTGGTGTGGCCTCCTCCGGTGATGTTCCCCTCCA